TAACTCTTTGTATTTCGAGATTCTCGATAGTATTCGGGTCTAATCGTTCACGGCAGCGGCACCAACTTCCGATGGCCAGTACGGATTGAACAGGGCACTGAAAGATGAACCGGCTATCGCCCGGCAGTGAATGGTTCTCGCCAAACGCGAAACAAAGTTCTTCTGTTATTGGAGGATATATAGGTGTACGGAGATGAGGCCAGCGAATGGTAGAAGAGAAACGGCAGTAGATAACTAGGAAGTAAAGGGGGAAGTGGGCGGGGGCAGATGGGGAAAAAAGAAAGAGAACAAGGTACGAAACAGCATCGAGTTAACGACGCGGATAGAAGAAAAGGCGATTGTTGGAAAAAGTTGGGAGGCTTTATCGGCAGACGCCTGCGGGCACTTTTAAACAGGAAAAAGTGAGAGGACGGAAGATGTGGAGGAAACGATGGATCGATATTGCTCTATAACGTTCGGCTGCCCATTACCGTACTGCGGAATGACGTATAGCTGCCAGCGCAGCACCAGACGCATGGCTATATGTGTGTCTATGTGTGCGCGAGTGTATCCGCGTATGCAACGCGCGAAACGCTGCATCCAGGCTCCTCTTGCATCGATTGTAGTGGTCTCGAACTCTTTAAGGTTGTTAATGAATCGCCACCTTCCATCAGTGGTCACCTGCGATAATTTGCTCGATACACCTTCCGTTCCTATTAAAGTTCTAAACGTACGTCCGACTAATGTCCGACTTATACTACTTGCGAGAATTCCAGAATACACATCTAACACTTTCGCCGCTGACGACGCATACGATGCGTTTCTGTTTGTACGCGCCATATGCGTGACGACGAAAGAAGGCAAACAGACCAATGATGTCAAAAACAAACATTCCGTAAAACAAAGCCGTATCTGATAAAAAAAAAAAATAAACCGCTTCTGGGAAGGGAAATGAAATTTCAGGCAGCAGCGAAAGTGTTTAGGTGCTTCTGACGATATTTCTTCGTCTAAATATTCGAACGGAGAATCTTATGGAAACAGAAGCCCAGCGAAAATGACGTTCTTGTCGGCTTTCACGGACGATTCGTTTCCACGAGTCACGCTCGAGGAACGTAGGCAACGAAGGGGTTGAGTAACGCGAAAGGAACGCTTAATACGCCGCGAAACCGCGAATATTCGCAGTTGGTGGATTGTATTTATAAGCGGGTTGGGGGGGGGGGAGGAAAAACTTGTTCGAGTGCCCGGTTAATTTAAATATCGACCGCGTATACATTTCGGCCGAACGGCGCGAAGGGAGAGGACAGTAAGCCGCTTGCAACTTATGAATATTACCAGGGGAACGTAAGCTTTTGCGCCCCGTTTCGGCTCTCTCCTCCCACCTTTATCCGTCCCTCTCTCTTCTTCTTCTTCTTCTTCTTGTCTCACTTGCACTCTCAGCGTGGGATAGCATCGTCGCCTGCTCGAGAAACAGAGACGCGAAAACACCGCCAACCGCGACGATCGATAAGTTAATAAACCATGCCGGAGGCGAGAATTGACCGAGAACTTTCGAAAGAAGATTAATGCCCGTTGAGCCGCGAAAGTTCCTCGGTAAATTTAGCAAATATTTGTTTACAATAGCTTTCTGCACGATTAAAAGAATGTGACCGAGAAGATTTCGGTAGAATTGTAAGGGTTGTAGTATATTGAACAAGTAGAATGAGCGCGTTCATGGTCAGACATCCGTATTTAATCAGTTGCCAAACGCAGTACGATTGTTTCTTAACTTATGTAATGTTCCGACTAATATTCAGATTTAATTACTTGAAAGCACTCTTCGATGATATACACTGTTTCGCTTAAAAGATTGGCACAGTGACGTGTGTATTCAGGGGAAAATTTACAGCTCGGCATAACTCATCGTATTCGGGATTCTTCGCTTTTACAGCGGCATGTCATTTCGAACGAAGAACAGGAATTTGATGCGCGCGTAATAATAGCACGCATTACGTCTCTCATAGTTGCACTCACGTCGCATTTCTCTGTGTCATGTAGGTTATCGAGATAATATACGACGTGGAAGCTAGTTATGAAATGTTACGGCTTCCTTTTCTGCGTATCTGTGTCACATGCACCGTGCGACAATAGAGACAAAAGAACGCGTGAATTTGTGCATAGTACTTCGGCATTAGGTACATTGCAATTTGGAGGAATGGAGAGTAGAGTGGCGGCGATTAAAGGGATTGAGACTGGAGTATTATTGAGTGCTACTACGTGAAGTAAGTAGTACAAGTCAATCATTTGAGAGTTGTCTGTATTTTTAATGTCGTGAGTTTTTAACAAGAAATTCGAAGTAACAATGAAAGCAATGAGGATTCATATATTATCAAACATAAGTAGTACATGTCAGCGATTCGGCCAACATGGACGTTTTTATAGTTGCAAGTAAACTGCCATTGAACCGGTTTAATTGGTTGTACAGGGCCAAAGTGTGTCGTACTCTTAGGTGACGGATGTTGCAGCACGCCATCTTGCCTGCTACCAACAGGACATATGCATATTAATGGGTGAGCTGACAGGTTAATTTTCCCATGACTGGATATCGAGCAACGTCTGGTGTATAACAGCGCCTCGACGTGTATTACCTCGACGCGAAATCTTCAGGCTGCTCGGACAGATGAAAACTGTCGGAAACGATATTCCATTGTGTCGAAGAAATACTTTTCCGTTCGATTAAAGCAAACTCATCGACTCTTCGGATATAAAATTCCATCAGAAAAAAAAAACACCCGTCGACGTATGGATAATTATTGAAATTAATTTCTCCTTTCAATTTTGTCATCGATTCACATGCAAAACACACTGCCACAACGGAACACGCAAATTACAGAAATACGCGCATTAATCGAGGGAAATCGTGAGTCAGCGCATCGCTCCGGTGACTGACAGACACTGGGACAGCAAAGGGTCGACATGTAAACTGTTTGACTGGGGACACTGACGATGGTGTCCAGAGCTAATGGATCAACGGGCATCTTGGCTCGCGATCAGTATCGCGTTACCGTAAGATTCGCGAATACGTATCGACAGGCTTCATCGTGACGAAATCGTTCGGATAGATCTGTGTCGACCATACACGATCACCACTCCTCTCTGTGAGGATCACGTTCGTCCAATAAATCGATCCACATTCCGACCTTTGATTCCGTTTTTACACAAAATGTGTAGCTACAGTGAAATGACATTCGTTACATAAACGAGTGACCCTCTTTCGTCCTATCGTCTGTTCTATAATATTATAATTTCTGAATATTGACGAAACCTCTGCCGGTTCAGGGGATCGCATTATCCGGAAATATTCACGGCGACGAAATCTCCTCCTCGGCGGGTGAGTCGTTTCGGTTCCCAATACGAAGATTAACGACTCCCAAGTTTCCGATTAAACAAGCAACCGGGGAAAATGACGGACGCTTTTGTCTTAGACCGCGGGAACAACGTTATCTCGATCCGTTAACGAAGCCATCCGAAACCCAACGATAGCGAACAAACGCGTGGTCGCAAATACTTCGTGGCCTGCGTCGAAAATCCGTTCCCGACGTACAGATTCCTGTCGTTGGACGCTTTTGCTACGAATAATGATGTATCGTCGTGAACCGTCGCGGCGGGATTAGTCGTTTCCCATAAAGACTCTGCCCCACACCCACCACCGCCCGATACGAAGATTAACGACTTCTGAGATTTAAGTACAGCGGGAATGGAATCCTGGCCGATGAACGTCGGAGCTTGTAATGTCGCATCTAGACGCCTGTAAAAAGCGGCGGTGGATCGATAGAGATGCAGAGAAAAAGGGAGACAGTGAAACGCAGTAATCTTTGTTTATGAAAAGCATGTACAATGACTCGCAAATCTGTTCAAGGAAGACAGACCCATTTATTTGATCAAATTACTTATCAAACTGCGAATGTTATTTCAGACATAAGAAACATTCGCCAGAAAAGAATGGTAAAATCTAAAGGTAACGAGAACAGATAAATAGAAAATGTATAAAAATTTGTACACCGAATGATTTTATTTAACGTGCGAGTCATTCTACGTGAACCTCTAGTTTCTTGCTGGAGACTGCGGTGAAATATTTACCAAAATTTTGCTGACAAAGAACGTTTGTATGTTTCACAGAGGAGGGGACGCAATTTCGTGATTTTTCGATTTGCCGGTCCCTTCCGGCTCGCGATTTATTATTCCCGGGTTGTAGATGCTGTTGGCAGAGCCGCGGGGCCGGCACGGTTACAAATTTCCGTAACCATTTAGAATCCTGTTCTTAAACTGCGACGTATGCCACTTCCATGCCAACCGAGCCCGAATGAATTTCCCTTCGCCGCTGGAACACACAACCACCCCTCGATCCTATGAGGTCCCCCTCGCCCCTGTTGGCTGGTGTACTTGATTTTTCCGCGATAATGATCGAGCGAGGAAACTCGAAGTGGCCTGCACTTTACTTTCCTCGTGGGAATTTATTTTCGGGTTTCCTGCTCGTTTTTCGGAGATGGCCACTGTTACTCGCAGAGGTCGAAGGTTAACGTTAGTGAATTCATCTCTACAGTTTGTAAAGTGTAAAGACGTCTTTGAAGTAGATTTAATAGACGTATGGTCAGACATAGACTGGAAAATTGACCAACAACGCGTTCAGCAGATATAGCTGACGCGTTGTCTGATCTATGATCGGTATGCACTACTCGTTCGTGTATTTTTTTCAAAGAATCACCAGTTATGGAAAATATTATTTCTTGTCGCACAATATGTGTTATTTTTTATACGTAGACTGCGGAAGTTTGTGCAAATTCGTAACTTCAGGTAGTAATATCTAAAAGTAAAAATAGAGGAGAATTGTGGATTCTGTATTAAGGGTTTTATTACGTTAATAATAACTTTATTTTATTACATTTTGCAAGTTAAAAGATGCTATAAACTCATAAACAACCGCAGACCATTTGTATGTATCACAAGACTTCACGGTTCACGTGTTCATTTTTAATCGGTTCCAGGACTCCTGTTCCATCGCAGCGTTCTAATGTCTGGCAGCGCGCTTTCACCGTGGGCGCTGGTGAGAGGAGCCGCGAATTACGCTCTGCAAGTTGCCAAACATCTAAATTGCTCGTGGGTGAGTACTGTCTAGAGTGCATTACATTAAGGTCCCTCCTTCTAGTTCGGTGACAAACTCCGCACGAGAATAATCCTGTGAACGGGTTTTCACCGCGAGTGGTAGGCGGAGGAACTATTTCCCCTGGGATTTTGAAACAATGCGGACCATAGTTTAACTGTGAGTGAAAGTGTCTTTAATGATTTCCGAAAAGACTACGTATACGTTGATCGAATCCCACCACGAACGAAGAAATCGGATAATCGCAGTTTCAGAGAGCCAAGAAAGTGCGACGCAGAATGGAAATTATCGAAAATCGGACACAGTGGTCAGATATTATTTTTACGCCTATATCGCAACCGTCGGTTCTATTCTGTTCGACGTGAGGATATTTTCCGTGGCCTGTGTATTACAGCCGTTAAAACACACGGGTGAACTCCCAACGGACGAATCCCACGGTGTCCAGGCCGCGTATTAGCTTAATTGAAACGCATCGTTAATATAATTGCTAGTGCGTAACTAACGGACGTAAAAACACCGTTTCCACCCGGTTTAATCTGATGGTTTAATTTATGTCCGACCCGGTTACGGTTTCGTGCCGCTGACTGTTTCGACCCGTACGCCCGTGGTCCCCCCCCGGTTTCGTAAATTGCTTGCCCGCTAGTATTCCCCCGCGTAACCAGAAAGTCGAGCAACACGTTACACGGAAAACATTTCCTTCGACGGGAATTTATTTACGATGGCCGCGAGGTGGTTAGGTCATCACAGAGAGAGAAAGAGAGAGCTCACGAAGAAAGCGCGACTCGAATAACCGCAACACCGATATAAATTAACTCGAACAAGAAGCTCGAACTATGCAGGACAATGAAATTCACCTCGAATAGAGCTGCAAAACAAATAGTACATGCTTTGCACCGCTAACTGCCTCACAGAAAGTGCCGCAAATGGCCCCTTGTGCTGCGTAAAGACGAAGATTTTACGCCTCCCTGGGAGAAAATAAACGAGCCAGCCGGTGAACTTAGGAATCTTAAATGGAATTGCCGGTAAAATGTAAGCTTGCAAGAAAAAGTCTGTACTCATGAACATCTGTGAGAATTATTGGATGTACGTCTGACCACTGATCGCCCGAATCCCCTTAGATAATTGAACCTGGAAAGAGTCTGTACCGAATACAGTAATATCGTCCGACCAATGGCTGATCGATACTACTTAATACGTGTTTCTTGAAAGCTCTGTTGTCGACCGACTAGAGAGACGTCGAACACGTGATGAAACGTCATCGAAAAAGAATGAAAAACCGATATTATTAAACTGTGAAGTGGCAGGCTCGTTCAAAATTTTCCACGATCCCCCTCCTTCATTCGCGTGCGATCCAACTCGAAGAGACGTAACGACATCGCGCTGGATACAGTGGGCCGAATGGTATCGCGATCGAGGTTTCACCGTACGATATCGAGTGGCAATATCGACGCGATCGTCGGACGGTTGCAACCACTTGGCCGTTTTAGAATGGGGAGAGGAAACAAGGTACCAACGCCGGCCGAGCCTAAACAGCCCCCTCGATTTGCAGTCGATTGAAAATAACAATTAAACGGGGAATCGGCGATAAACGTGGCCGATTGTTCCTTCCTCTCGCCACCCTTCTGTCCCGCCGTTCTTCCATCGATTGGGGGAAAAAAAAAGTCCTTGTCCAGACGAAATGGGAAACGGGATGGGATCGCTCGCGTGGCCTGGTGGTCGATACTCTCTCGCGGCTGGGAATGGGATTGATTGAATTTGTCGCGGGGAAAAATGACGAAATTAATTTCGCTCCCGGGATTTCGAGAGCACGGCTGGCTGGAGTTCGAAAGGAGGGTGCCCAGCCGGGAGGGGGGAAATATTGTGGTGGTTTAAATCGCGGCGGGGAATAGCTTTAGATTGCGACCGATATTTGGTACCGTTCGAAATCGATCAGCGAGTCCACACGATTATAGATCTATGGATTGGAAACCAAAGGTGTATATGTATGTATACGGTATAAATCGAGACTGTGAAAACTAGCAGAATATACACGCGACCAACAGACACCCAGGCACCAGCCTGTCCACAGATACAATAACAAACAGAGGGCGTTTTGTGTTCAAACGGAATCCAGACCGACTGGCGATTTCTCCTGGAATTCCCGACGGGAATACTCCCGTCGAAACGTACACCCTCGAAAAGGGTTAACGAAGCCCCGGTAAACGGATGTTCCGCGCAATGGAACGCAGCGGGACGAGCCGCGCCACGGACCCAATCCGATGCGCCGATTCACTTTAATTCGGCTGCACGCAAATGAATTGCTTTAGCGTCCGGGGCCACCCCGGTAATCGCCTTTGGAAATCCTACTGGACGTAGACGGAGCCTCCTGTGCCGCAATCGAATGTCAAATCGGGGGAAAATCGGTGTTGTGCGCCCGAGGATCGTGCTGTCGTGTTCCTACTCTGGAGGGGGATCGTGGCAATCGAGGTTTCCTCGATGATTCGACTCTCTGGTACAAATGTGCCTATTTTAAACAGACGTTATGCGTTGTCGTATGTTCCGAATATTAAACCGTGTATTAAACCGTGTATTAAATTGTGTATTTGTGTAGCACGTCAACAACGTCGACCATGACGACTAAATCGTTAATTGTTTCGATGAAATCTCAAAGACAAACGAGGTCTTTGTCAGCCCAAAAGGTCCTCTAAGCTCGGACCCGTGTTCAAGATCCTGTATCGGTTGCAAACTAACGTGTTCTGTTTGTTCAGGCCGCGAGTGATCCTCAGGCATTGCTGAGATGCTTGAGGAAAGTGCCACTGAACGCGTTGGTCTCGGTGCCCGTCAAGGGATTGGAATTCGCCCCCGCGTTTGGACCGAGTATAGACGGCGTCGTAATTGATCCGGGTGATCCAGACGATCAGGACATCACCCTGCAGGTCGACACGATCAATACGCTGAATAACATCCTGCTGCGGAAGGACGTTGTGGCCAAACTATCGAGGTAAATCCAGCGACAACCTTCTCTACCCTATTTTACTATCCACTACCCCAATGCAAATGTTTTGCTCTGCAGAACTCCTGAAACGGAGCTGCTCCTCTTTCGTTCTTTATTCCTTGCTTGAATAATAGAACGAGTTAAGTAGAATAAAAGTGTATTCGGTCAGACGTCGGATCTTCACGAAGAAAATGATAATCCAAACAGGCGATTCGTTCGATTTGTAAATCATCTTGCTTGGAAAATTTCATTTCTGGATTCTCGACTTCACCCTCATATTTCTTCCACCCCCAGCGTTCACCAATCTTCTTCCCTCCGAGCGCTGACTCGCTCGCGCACAGCTCGAACGTCGAGCAGAAAGGAGATCGGTTAGCGCGTGCTGGAAACTCATTACTGGACCTCGGTTAAGGGTGGATGGGGTTGAGGGAAGAACGGGGGTTGCTTTCGTTCGAAGCCGTGATAAATAGAACGTTTTCGCCGATCCTCCCCCTTTCCACACTCGCGCGTCATTCTATGAATTCCTTCTATTTCTTCGTCGCGCCATCAGCCACCCCCCTCTTTTCTGTGTACCTTTCAACCCTAGACTACATACCCCTCGTAAACTTTTTCGAATACATTGTCCTGCATCCCCCTTTTTTTCGCGTTCTCCTTTCGACCATATCGTCCTTTATCCTCGGACTCTTTGTAACCAAACCCCCCCCCCCATTGCTTTCTTTATTTCTCGCCCCTTACATTCAACCCCCTCTGGTTCCTGTCGCGTCCTACAGACCCCTTCGTGGACTCAGTTCTCCCATCCTCCGTCGCTCGTTCGAATTGTTCCTATTTTCCCTTTTTTCTTTCATCTCCACCCTTCAGCCGCCGTCGAGATCGTTCGCTGCCGTCCTCTCGCTATACATATATATACCACTTTTAATTACTGCGTTTTTGTCGCGCTCTCCTTCTGCTCTTTTTCGTCGTCGGAGCAACGCACCCTGCTTCTCCCCTGTCTCTTTCTCGTTTGTCCCTGTTTTCGAGACAGTGTCCCGTTTACGAAAGTAATTTAGCAAGTCCGGGACGGTGTTAAACGATTCAACCCGGAGAAGACGGGTTCGAGTGTTCCCTGGAACAGCGCCTGGCCGGGGGGAGGGGGGGATGTTTTCCTGTGAAATTAGAGATGAACGGACACAACCTTTGAAGTAGCGCTCGAGACTTTGTTTCCTGCTTAACGAGACGGTGAGAGGCATGCTATTAAAGAATTTTATATTTTCGTCGAGAATTCATATACAGTGACGCACAAATTTATTCACACAAGTACTAGCGTTTATTTGACCAAATTACGTACCAAACGTCGAATTTTATTCTAAAATTCAGAAAAATTAATCACGAAAGAATGATAAAAGTAAAGATAATGAGGAAATATTGCGCGTATTTAAACGGTCTTTTGCGTTTGCGTTTAATTAACGGAAACTGGAAGCTTCCGAATCCACGGGCGCGTATTAACGAACGTCTGTTTGCGATCGAACATTTATGAAATAACAACCATATTTACATTATTCATTTGACGTTTAAAATATCTGGAAAGAGTATACGAATAATGTCGAACAACAGTTTTTAATAGCGAGCCGCTGTGTTTCAGGTACGATCTGATGATCGGTGTGGTGCGTTCAGAAGCGTACTTTTCTTTGACCGCGAACGACGCGCTATACGGCATCGAAGCCGATAGGAGGACGAAAATTCTCCGAGAATTCGTTCGTAACACGTACACGTATCACCAGGCGGAGATCCTGGCGACGATTATCAACGAGTACACGGATTGGGAGCGGCCTGTGCAGCATCCGGTTAACATAAAGTAAGAAACCATTGAACGTAAAATTAATCCTGCGACATATACACTCCTATTCTTATAGAATATCGAAATAGTGATGTTTCACCCTCGTAATTTCAAGAATACCTTTGTCAATTTTCCAGAGACGAAACGCTCGAGGCACTAGGAGACGCGAACACGGTGGCGCCAGCTACGAGAACGGCGGATCTCCACAGTGAATCGCGCCGAAACTCTTACCTCTATGTGTTCGATTACCAGACGAAATTCGGCGACTATCCTCAGGTAACGTCTCAAAAGTCATAACAAAGTGTTCACACTGAAAGACGAAGGCGTTCTCGAATGGGGTGGCTCGCGAGAGTTGAAGGACCCTCGCCAGCAATGGCGTCCACGGAAAGGAGGGCGACGTTGTCTGTAATTTAATCAGAGGGCCGGTCATTAACCCACATCGCGCATATTTTATTCCTAACGATGATACATTGCGTTGTTTCTTCGCGTATTCTTTTCCTCCCCTTGCCCCTCCCCACCTCTCCGTTCATTCAAATTTAAATCCCATTCTTCATCGCGGACGCATACCGTTTCCGCCCAGACGTTTCTCCTGCACTCGCCGAGAGGCACTTTCCATTGTCGTAAAATTTCAGGAAACAATCGCGTTGTTTCGATTTATTCGATAATCCATTCGCTCGATCCAATAACCGGGGCTATCGCGTTAAAAACGACTACACAATGGCAGCGGGAATGATTTTAATGAAAATGAAAAAGTTGCCGGCTCTCTGTTTCGACGGAAATGAGAAGGCAAAGTTTTATAAGCTTCGCAAATTCGCATATGAAATTTTAATACCGTTACCCTCGTTATCACTGTATGAAATTATCGCGAGTGGAATTTATTACACGGAGATTAACAATTTACTTATTCAACTTTTAATGAAACCCACCGGATCACACGCGGGGTGTACCGGCAATGGCGCACGGAGTGTAAATTTTTCCACACGAAAATGGTTCAGGTATTTTTAGCCGGGGGCGGCCCGAAGCCAATTCTCGAATCGAATAACACGTGAAACCGGCAATAGGGAAAGGAGAGAACGAAGAGGGGTAAGTCGCAGAAAACTAGCGGTAATTTTTTCCAAGGGGTGGCTGCCTGCCTGCCTCCATTTACGCATCCAATGTTCCAGAGGAGGGAAACGTGTGCTTTCGATGAACACCGTAGCCGCAAAATTTTTCCAGAAACGGTGGCCGGATTATTTTCCGTCTAATTACCTTTCTCCTTCCCATCGGGATAAACGTTCGCACACAGGGGTGGACAATTTTCGGCCGCCTGCAGCTAAATTTTTTTTCCCCCAAAACTCGACGGCAACAATCGTAATAAGGGTAGGACAGAACAGAGGAAACGTGTTTTCCGTGGATACACGCCATTTTCCAGCTGCCCTGTAACACGATATTTGTATCAAGATATACGGAAAAACAATTAACGAAACCGAAACCTTCGATTTTTTCAGCAGTCGGAAAAATTCGGTACCATCTCCACGGCCACGTTATACGATCTTTTGTAAGATACTGGAACATATATACCTGTTATGACATACACACACACACACCCACGTCGTCGTATCTGATTTCTGAAACTTGCCTTTCACCCCCAACCCCCCTTGACAGCAGTTTCGAAACGACAGCGTCAGGGGGTTGGGGAGAGGGGGAATGGCGGATGAATTTCCCGGGGAACGATTATTATTACGATGGCACGGGGGGTGTATATTACACGGTAAATCTTGCGCGCATCGGTTCACGCAGGAAACGGATACGCGATGGGAAATTGTAAAATTACAGGGGATGTGACTGGAGGGATGGGGGGGGGACGATCGGTTGTGTGTCACGTCAGAACTCTGCGTTTCCGTCGGGAGTTTCGGTTCGCCGCGGATGTCCCGGTTATCATCGGCGATAACGTGTACGATTTCCTGGGGAACGCGGTGGCGAGCGTACTGCCGCTTCGGAAATTGCCGAGATAAGAGGGGGCGTGAACGAGGCAGGGAGGTTGGGGGAAGGAACGCTTGTTTAAAATGGGATCGAAAAAGGAAACCGCGGCTCGAAACGGTCGACCGCGACGTTAATTGCGCCAGAGACGTCGAGATGGGGTGGTGGTTGCCAGATAGCGACAGAGCCGCTAATGGAATTAATTCGGAACTACACTTTCTGGATTTTCAAGCGGATTCCGCGTACGGTTCTCGGGAATTCTTATCGGAAACCGTCGCCTTATAATTCATTCATCGGATACCACTTTCGGAAACTCTCGGGGACTCACGTTTGAATATTCGAGTTTGCAAGTGGAAATATCAAGCATGTGTCGGACCCCGAAGGAAAAACTTTGTAATATCGGGTTCGTGGACGGGATTTACAGTAGGACAAATGAGATTTCGAGATATTCGAGGAATAGAGGAGGAGAACAGTCGACAATCTGGGGGAAAGATTAATATCCAACGAAGTCGCTCGGAAAACTGTTTCGCCGATAGACAGTTTCACGGACTCGCGAAACGAAACGTCGATCGTTCGATCGACCTGTGTGTGTGGCGATCGAGGCCGTTGGAAATCGTTTGGAATTTGTTTACTGGGCCGACTGCCGATTAATTAAAGTCGATGAATCGGGGCGAGATCCATGCGCCTCGACGGGCTCCCGCGATACCGTAATTAGAAAAAGCCCGTTTTTCACGGCCGCAACAACGGGTGCTTCCCAAGGAAACTACTCGGTTCTTCGCAGTCCCGCTGCGTCGCAAAATTAAATTCGCGAAACGATTACGCTCTCACGAACGTGGAATCGAGTTTCCGCTCGCGAGCAAGGTGGGAGAGGGGGAGGAGACTTTCATGCTCGCTAAACTGCGGCACTTTGCACGCGCGAGGAACGGAAGCCCCGTGGAAATGGCTGCGAACGTTAAATGACTTCTGCCTGAGTCGAATACGCGCGTGTCCCGTTCAATGAACTGCAAGATGCACGATCATATTTTTTTCGTCGAATCTACTAGTAGGTATACGAAATTCAGTTGAAGTTGCCGAATATACAGGGTGTCTCAGCTAAAGGAGTCCTCCCAAGTGTCTCTTTCGTTTTTCATGACATGAAAAATGGTCATGTTACAATTTGAATGGCTTCATTGCAGGATTCAAATTTTTTTTGTGAAAATCATATATCCTTTATCTGGGAAACGTGTGTTTTTTTTCTATCGTATTTCGGGGAACCAGGAAACGAAAGATTGAATAACGAAGGGAACGAGTAGCTCGGGTCTTCCAGTTTCCTTTTCCTCGTCGAGGAAAAATTCCTGTCAGCTCGCAATGCTGAATCCTCAAAGCGACCCAACCGTCGGGCCTCACGAGTGTTACCGTCAAAGCAGAAACTGTGCAAAGACGGCGGCTGGTGGTGGAATTTAGATTAAACTTCCGTTTGAGAGCTTAAAGGACCACCGGGTAATTGAGGGGAAACGCAAGGAAAAATTCTGCGACTCCAGTTGCGTGAAACGATCACACGATCGCGAATTAATCGCAGGCGATATTCGAAAATGGCGCGGACAAGAATTCGGAGGAACGAAAGAAACAGGCTTCTTTGTGGTTCTTCGGGAGGAATGGATTCGTTTGTATTGAAAATTCATAATTATTCCCCTCTTTCGGAGACTTTCTTCAATTTGTTTAACCCTTTAATACCCAGACTTAAATCGTTATTTCAAAATTATGGGACCGATATATATGTTGTATCTTGTTAGTTTGAAGTCGACAGTATCAGTATTAAGCAGACCAATTTTTGTCCATTAGTTTTCGCTTTTTTTATTTATTTGTAATATTTATTTTAGAGATCTACTTCACATCGGTGAATCGGAGGCACTTAAAATGAGTGTTGCATCGATGCAACCTTTGATCGACAACCCTTCGATTCAACCATCTTCAGATAAAAGGATTACAGGGTTCATTAAAATGCGGAAAACTTTTTTAACGGGGTCGCTAAATGTATTCATCAGTGGAAAATCTTCGTTGTTTTTGAGTTGTTTTTGAGTTGCATTTAAGGATCGCGAAGTCTAAAAGGGAACTGGAAACAGAATGTCAAGGATTTGAAAGAGAAGATAGAGGGAAACGAAATCGTCACCGATGGCCAGGATGAACTCGAACTTTCCCAACGGGAAAGTTCCGCGGAACTTTTCCGATCGCGAAAAATTCTCGTCACCGTTGCGGAATATCCGACGAAATTTCAAAAAAGTTTCGTCCAACCCGCGGACAGGGTGCGTCGTCGCTTATCCAGCGTGCGCCAAGGAAAATCGCGTGTTACGGAAAACCATCAACGGTGCGCGAGTGTTTCAGGAACGCGGAACTGGAAAACCCCCTGCCTCGTTGAATGGAACCGCTGTTAGTCGCATATTCATCGCGGGCGTCCACGAAAACGTTACGCGGCGGAATTTCATTAACCTTTTCAGGATAGAATTAGCCGGGAGAAAACAAATTTTTTTTACTTTTGCGGACAGCAGTCTGGACAAAGTTTTCGCGAAATTTAGAAAGGATCGCTGGGACAGACAGCATTACCCCGTGTATCTTGCGTCCCATCTCTCGCCTGTTCAATGGAAAACTTTGTGTCGTCCTTACGCTCGAAGCAGGTGTATAAAATAAAACGAGGAACCTGGAACTCCGGGGGGGGGGGGGGGGGAGGGGAAGGTTCCGAAACGAAGGAAAACTTTTTAATGCAAACGTTAGTCCAGTGCGGAGCGGCGAAGGGAGGGACTGAGAATCCGTTGGAAGAAAAAAAAATTAACGACGGTGCGAATAACGATAACGAGTAACAATAAACTTAATTATCACAACGAACGTGGATATAACGGAAGGCGTAACGTAATCAGGAAAAAATTAACAAGCCCCTCCAGGCCCCGTCGCTGTTTTAACGAGGTCGGAGTACACGTCGACGCGAGTGTAATCCTTTTAGTCACGTAAATGCAACATGACGCTTCGCGATATCGCGAGCCGTGAGAGAGACAGAGAGAAAGAGAGACGCTTTAATTCCGACCACTGAGGGGAACTTCATAATTCGTTTCGATCACCGGATTGCGGTTGTGGAGTCTGCTTTCGAAACGGAAAAAAATATCCCCGCGAACCGACACCAGGCAATTTAAAGAAACGCTTTTATTCGAAGCGACTGCCAATATATACATATATCTATAACCGAAGTTCCCTGTACAGTCTCGTACAAGAAATTCGAAATGGAGATGCCAGAGACAACGCACGTAAACGAAAGCTTCGTCATAGATCGCTGACTGGATTCATTGAAATTCCGAATTTTCTTGAAAAATATCTCTCGTTTTTTTTTTCCGAGTAACGGGAGGACAGAAAGACCGTGGACGGTGGCAAAAAACTAGCGCGAGCCTGTCGCGTTAATGCGCAGGAGAATATCAAAGGCAGCCGCGCCGAGAAGCGTGTTTAAATTTAAATTTAGATCATCGATTCCACGCCGTTGGAACCGTCGCGTAATAAGCTGTACGCTCCGTGAAAGGGGGGTGGTGGCATTAACACCTTCGTGTACAACCAGAGAACTCGGCCTGGAAAGTTCCAACGTTTTTCGTGGACCACCTCCGGTAGCCGTGTTCCAATATTTCTAGCGAACACTTTTGTCGCTTGACGACGGAACGTTCGACGCGTGCACTGGATTGACAAGCAATTTCACTAATTAACGATCAGAACCTCTCTTTTTCCTTTTTTTTCAGAGAGACAGAGAGAGAGACATGCTGTTTTATCCCGTCTTTATATTTTCCTATCGCAAACGGTGTTTAACGCGCATTCGTTTCACCGGTCTTATTGTCACCTCGTCGAGCGAGCGTTCGTTGGAAAATTGCGAGTTCAGCAGCGTCGATCTCCACAGGGCCAAAGACGGGACGAGGGTGGGAGGGGGTGGAATGGTATTCGTATGCAAAACTCGGAGAAAAGGACGAACGAGGGATGAAGCCGGTGAAAGGAAGGGTTAGAAAAGAAATGAAAAGGCAGGGAGGGAACGCATTCAAGGGCTTCTAACTTGGAAAAGGCTGCTGGAGAATGGGAACGAGTGAACGCGCTAATACCGTCAAGGTACCCCCATTCGTTCCTTCGAGAACGCAAACGACTATCGTCGAAAACAATCGTTACCCCACCGACAATTCTTACGTAATATTGAGCACATTACAGGGATGAAAATGGTAATGCGAATTTCAATATTCTTAACGGTAGAAGTGGTTCATCGTTCGAGTCTCTAATAACGTTTCTACATCGTACTATTCTGACATCATCCAGGAGAGGCTGTAAAAATGTTTCTGCATCCTACTACTCGGGCATCATTTAATAGAGGTTATTAAAATATTTCTACGTCGTACCTACTACTCAGGCATTGTCTATCAGAGGCTATAATACTATTTCTACATCGTACTACTCAGGTGTCATCTTTTAGGGTTCAGCCATAATCATTGCACACCCCTTCCAGTAAACAGATTATGTATTATTGACACTATAGACATCGAAGGTCAAAGCAAGTAGTCGAGGAAGTAAAATCCATAAGCACGTTTCTAGGGGGTTGGGGTTTGATCGTGTGAAGAGAAGAAATTTCAGAAACCCAGAGACTAGTCGAGAACTAGGTGGTAAACGACCGACCGGTCGAGTTCTCTCTCGAAAAGTTCTCGAAACTCGAACGGAAGAAGGTCGAAAGAATCGTAACTGTTCCGCACGTTGAACCGCCCGAGGTGAAAGAATCAGATTTTCGAATCTCGATTCCGAGGTTTTTTTCCTTCGGGACGTTCCGTTGGATGTACAACATGGGGGGAGGGGGTAGTCAGGGAATCCAATAGTAGGTATCGATTGCAACCGAGCACTCCATGCCAGGAAGCAGAAAGAGAACTCCCGGGACTCTCGGAGGACGAGGAACAGGGTGAACGAGCTAGCGAGCGCGGTCGAGAGATTCGTGGCCGCGATGTTGGAACGAGATGGGCTGCTCCTCTGTGAAGTGGACGGTAGAGTTGAAAAATAAAATTAAATCTGGTAACTCTCAGCGCGATAGAGAGAGAGAGAGAGTGGGGTAGAAATAGTTAGAGGGAAGGAGGTAAACAATGGCGATTCGTAATTAAAACGGACGAAGAAACACAGAGTGGCGAGTGAGGATGAAAGGCGGCAAGGTAAATAGAGGGCCCGGGTGTTTCGAGGCATAATTAAACAACAGCAGCTCGGCCTGTGGAAGAACGGCAACAGAGAATAGGGAACGGTGAAATTATTTAATAACACGAAACGTCCGCGGGTAACAGAAACGGGATAACGGACGAAGAGAGAAAGATAGACGGCACGAAGGGAAACGTGACGAATTATCGTGAATGTTCGCGCCAGGGAATCTGTGGGTGAATTAAGGGACTGAACGAACAGGTGGGGGGATGACGGAGACGTCGAAGGGACACCGCGTTCGATTTGTCTTCGCGGATTCCCCGGCTGGCGGGGATCTTGGCCGCACCTGGTTCCGTTGGAACGGGGTTCGTTGATGGATCTTGATCCTCGCTGAGGGGCAAAGAGGGAGGTAAATTCTCCTCGAGGAATCCGTGAACTGTTCGCGGAAGTTTGGAGATGGCCGCGATAGCTGGGTACGTCAGCGATTTAATGGATGACAGATGCTCGGATGGGGTCTGATCATCCGTAACGGTAACCGTACAGAACGCGCTATACCGTTGAGAACGCGTTCGAATAATAATAAAACAACGAATGTAACGCGAAAGTTCCATACACTCGTGCAAATGTCGAGAAGTAAGCATAGAGGGAGCAGTCGATCCGTTCGAGTGAATCGAGCTACATGATTTTCAAAAGGCGTCAAGTACTCGCACGGGAGGAGGAGGGAGAATCGATAAGGGAAATATTAGGGAGGAAACGGTGCCACCACAAAAGATGCAGAAGGTCTCTATTACAGGGGCCGTGTGCTCAAACGGAACTGTGCAGAGCTTCAATCTTGCTCGGGACGAATCGACCCTTTCTGGTTCGAGCCAACCGAAAATGCGATATTTGATCGGGAGAAAACCACTGGCGCGGGAGAACGAAACAACACCCCCGCTTCCCTTTGTAAATTGAAACTAGAAACGAGGCTGGAGTACGAAACTTGTGCGGGAAATTATTCAGTACCCTTGGTTCAATTTACGCTGTGGAATTCCTTCTACGAATATCTCGATAAAATTAAAGTATTCGTCTTTTTTCTCTTTTGTCGGATCGACAGAAAGCCTTTGACTTCCGTGCTCGAAGATCAGCTTAGAAGCCCTTTAAAGCCCGGGGAATTCTCAATTTTTCGGGTGGAAATAGAGATGTCCAGTGGCTGCAGATTGCTTCCGCCGCCCTCTTCTCCTCTTTTACCGGACAACCGATCTTTCAGACTTAACGAAGGGTTCCGAACGAGTAAGGGGGCAGTCGACTTTTCCCGCGGTGAAGCCAAGCGTCGAAAGGACGAGAGAAAGAGAGAAAGAGAGAGAGTAATCTCGAAACTCCGGGTCGAGCACATATCATTCCATGCTCATCCAGCTCTTTTCCTCCTCAATATCTTCGTGCCCCGCTGGAAAAGCCTTTCTACCGTTTGAAATACGAGCGACGTCCCGTGTCGTTAAAATGCCATCAATACTTCAGTCGGGGGGGGGGGCACCTTTGTGGATCTTCGGTCGTTTCTTCGAGACGGACAGGAAAAAAAATGATATTCAGATCCGTGTCTGCGGTAAACGTTTTAAAGGATTCGATGACTCGAGGACAGAGCTCGGGAAAAACGAAGCTAGTAGTCGGATCTCTTTTGAGATCATCCGTGCCAACTTTCGAGTAGTAGGTTTATCCAACCATATCATTCGTGTATATGATGGAAATACAAATCGAAAAGTCCTTTACCGTTTTGTGATCTGAAGTTCCATTTCCGAGATATTAGCAGTTGAACGAGCTCCAATCAGCTGAGCGGTCGGTCACGCGTATGCGCGACTCAGCTGACTGGCCTATGCTTCTTGACACTGTGTGGCCGACCGCTCAGCTGATTGGAGTTCGTTCAACTGCCAATATCTCGGAAATGGAGCTTCAATTTACAAAACTGTAAAGGACTTTTCGATTTGTATCTCCATAAGGAATGTGCATGTCGCGGCTCTTCCCATCATTTTGTGGCACCCTGTATAATTTTCAAGGTTATCTAGGCTAAAAAAGAGCGTTCAACTTTTCAGAAGCCAGGCTGCATCCACGGCGAGGATCTGCCATATTTTTTTGGAGCACCGATCGTAGGCGGTCTGTCCCATTGGCCGAAGAATTACACGAAAACAGAGGTGACGCTCTCCGAAAGCGTGATACTCTACCTGACGAACTTCGCGCGTACCGGGTGAGTCGTCGCAAAACAATTTCACTCCATAATCATCGTATCGAATTCGATGTACGAACTCGCTTTGATCCTCTGCCCGTTGTTCTCCGACAGGAACCCGAACGAGGGCACGCCGGAGTTCGGACCGATGCGACCGGAACGAACGAAAGGCAGGAACATCGATTGGGTCGAGTACGAGGCGGTGCACAAGAAATACCTGAGCATAGGTGAGTAGCGCAAAAGCGTCGGGCTTGAAATTAATAATCGTCGAAGCCTTGAGTCGACTGCAATGCTCCAAGACCCTCGAAATTTTCATCTACCGATGGGAGAATTTAACGGCACGAATTTCGTGACGAGGAAACGAGGTTTTCGAACGGGATGCTTCTCCACCGACGAGCAAAAAGTATTCAAGACACTTGGCGTACAAAGAACTCGTTAGTGAAGTGCGAAGCTATTCTCTGTGAAAGTTAAGCTTTCGAGTTTGCAGCTTAGCATCCCGGCTTTAAAACTTCGCTTTTGAAAATCTCACTTAACCCGGAAAAGCGAATGATTTTCTTCAAATATCTCCAACAGAATAGAAAATTATATCTGTACATCTGAATTCGCCCGAGTGATCGGAATAGCGCGCGGTGGATCTTCTCGTGGAAAGGTCTGAATCGGTGACGAAGGAACAGAAGAAACATGTGTGAAAGAAACACGTGTGTGTGTGTGTGGCCTCTGCGCCTCATTTCCAACCGTAGAAATTGTTTTTCTCGCGGGTACCAAGCGCGCCATGGCGTTTTGAACCGGAACCGGGAATTATTATATAATCCGATTACGTTCCCAAAGTGAGTATAATGAATCCAGTCTCCGTGAGCTCGCACGCATTTCGTGCATGTAACTAAGAGGATCAACGGAGGAGATTTATTTGCATAATTCTCGTTCCTGGAGAGAAATGAGAATGGCAGTTCGTCAGGAAACAACGCCGCGGAGTCCCGCACGGGAGTTCACTTCTGCCCCTCGGAGCTTCACTCTTCAAATTGCATCGCGACTTTGAAATGAAAAGCCAACGGCGGCGTCGCATCAGCTGCGTTACACCTCTCTTCTCGAGCCCCTCGACACTCGAGTCGTTCTACGGCTCTTTCTCTACCCTTGTCACCGATGTATTAAAGGAAACCTTGCCAGAAGAACTAGAAACTCGAGAGAGAGACAGAGGGAGAGATAGCATATTATTGAATTAATTCTGCATGAAATCACTGCACAACGAACCAAAGGGATGTTCCTTTTGAAGTGTCGAAGAAGAATCAACCGTTTATTCGATAGGCCCAACTAGATTCTTAACCCTTTGGATACATTTGACGACAGAGACTTTTTCGTACACTTGGCTTGCCTAAGTGAAAAATGACGAGTCTGACTCGTCATTCGAGTTGAAACAATATTTAAGTACCATCCAGAGTAGCTTTTTCCAGTTGTAAAAAGAAAAATGAAATCCATGTACAAAATTCGTTCAACTAATTCGGTACCCAAAGGGTTAATATTTTTAAATACAATCTCTTTTTCTCTATCTCTTTCTCTGTACGCCGTATTCGTCGGAATGGCGATCGTGACACGACAAGTAACCCGAGGGTAGGAAGAGAGAATCGTCAGCACGAGCAGAATAACACCGAAGCGGGGTAAAGTTCGGTCGCGCGCTCGAGTGCCGGCAGTGCAGCTCAAACTATGCCGCGGCGTTGGCCGCAAGTAGAAAAGTCGAGGCAAAGCCAGCCCGAGGGTTAACCGTGTTCTCCTCTGTATTCCTCCCCGTCGCGACTACTCTGACTCTCCCTTGCCCGGCGCGCGCGCGCGACTCCCCGGTAGTTTGGAACTTTGAGGCACACTGACTAACGAAGCTGGCTTCTGTATGGGATTACCATGCGACAATAATTAATTACCCTCGCTGTTAATACGAAAGGGCTGCATCTCGTGGAAAACCATCCCTCCACGAGGTTACCGTGCGAGTAGCTACGCCGCTGGCTGCCTGCCTGCAAGCCGTACTCGCTGGTGCACGGTTCCCTCTAAAAGCTCACCGGCTCTTTCTTCCTCTTCTTTCATCGTTCCCCTCCCTCGTCACGCCCCTTGTCGACTTCGTCTTTCCGCTGACCTCGCTGAGAAACCATCCGTGTTTCCAGAACCCAAGTCGAAGCTGAAGAACCACTACAGGGCGCACAGACTCTCCTTTTGGCTGAACCTAGTGCCAGACCTCCATAAGCCCGGATCGGACGACGTTCCTAGGTCGCATCATCTACTCGACACTGAACAGGTATGTACGTTTCTGGTAACGCGACAACAATGTCTCGAGCCTTCTCTTTTAACAACGGATCGTCGGCATCGAATTGTTCTCGATCGATCGAATCCGCTCGTTCAAGGTGCCGCCAAGGTTCATCCAAAGGATACCAACGACAACCAAAATGACCACGTCGGAAGTGACCGTACCGGAGAAGCAGCTGAACGTCTCGACCGCCACGCCGAGCGAGCTAGCCTTCGAGGATACAACGACGCAACCCGAGGACGGGTTCGCTGCTTACTCGACCGCCCTCAGCGTGACGATAGCGATCGGCTGCAGCTTGCTGATCCTGAACGTGTTGATATTCGCGGGTGTTTACTATCAACGGGACAAGAGCAATCAGCACAACTGCTCCAAGAAGCGACAAGAGAACGGACAGATGCCGAACAACATATGCGGGGACCTGGAGACCAAGACGGCGGAGAGGCATCACATTCAGCACATACCGCCCCCGGAATTCGCAGATTTGCAAAATAACAGCTGCCACGTGCCAATGCCACCGCCACCGCCGAAGAACACCAAACCAGGGAAGCCAGGGCAGAATCTGATCATCAGCCCTAATCAGCTTCAACAGGAGAACATGGCGATGACCGGGACCGGGACATTGAAGAAAGGCCATAATCATCAGCAACAGGTCATGGACGAGCTGAGGGTCTGACTCCGGGAGAACGTTGTAGGTGCGGAACAATTAACGGGGACAATTGATAGAGTGAAGAAGGGTATGAACAAGGGGTTTATTGAACTTTCTTTGGAACTGTGCTGTTTCGTGTCGGTGGTGTTTAACGGAACAGAAGATTGGACGGTTTTACATGAACACCCGAAGCGAGACTGTCGCCAGGGAAAGACTATAGGACGGAGGGGGGATGAACGAAGGGAAGCTTTGTCGTGAAAAATATTAGCGTTTCCGTAACAATTTGCATTCACGATCGATCGTGAGACCTTTGGAGAACAAGAATGATATTTCGCGTGGAGAAAAATTACGCGAAACTCCGACAAGAATTATCGAGACGTCAGAGTTTAATATCTTAGAGAATCTTCGATCTAACTTTAATTCAATTGAATATTAAATACGAGTAAGACGTCTGGCCAGTGTGTTCGCGGGCAGAAGAATTACGAAAACGAACGGAAGCTACCAAGATCGAGGTTCTCTTGGCGATTCTCGACGATCTCCGGAAAGATCCTTGAAAATCATCGAGACCGTATTTGATAAATTTCGATCGAGCAATCCATCCTCCGAATTCCTTCCCGAAACTGTAGAAGCGCCTAAGAAGCTAAAAAGAGACAGACAAATGCAGCCTGAATAATCGCCGGAGGCACGAACAGCATCTGAAAAATGTTATTGTTTTCTACCGATTGCAAAAGAGAAAGGAAAAAATTACCGCGATCAACTGCCGAAAAATCGAGTAGTTTTGCGATATGTAAAAAACCACGGGGTTTCTTTCAATCAGGACGCCTTTATTTCACAAGGCTGCACCATTTTTTGTAACCCATCGCGGTCCGATGGACCTTGTTTCGCATTGTAAATTCCACATTTATATTGAAAATCAATTGGAGAACAGCAAGCTGATCGCGACACAGGACCGCGATGGGATTAGCTGTACGTTTGCGGGGGGGGGGGCGGCCATTTTGATATCACGATAAGTCTGCGTATCAAATGGACAGAATGACGGAGGATCTTTCGAAATTTGAAAGATTCCTGGTTCTACTCATCATTCGTCGACTGGCACGTCTGTACCTGCCACGGATAATTCATTGAAAAATAAAAACACCTGTTCGTGGATGTATACCGGTTTATCTATAATTTGATAAAACACTGGCGACCGTCTGACGAAAGATCAGTGCCTCGGGATCGATTCCTCATTATTTTGCATCGAGAACAATCGAACGGAAATCCGGGGGCGCTGTCGATCGCCTAAATGCTCAATGAAAACACAAGAAAGGTAAGCGGGTGTAAAAAAAAAAAAAAAGAAATATCACCGAAGTTACGACAGATCCGTACTCTCGAATCGAATAGCTCCGAAGAGGGATTCATTTTTTTACTACGGGAGAATCGAGACGATCGAGAAGCGGGATCAAGGGGCGTGATCAATTGACCGTTCAAAATGAATAAATAACACCATACTGCCATAAAATTGGGAGAAAGACACCTTAGCTAACCGTGGTGAGTCAATACGAGGCGTTGTTGCCTCGACAGCGATCGATTTGTCGCAAGAGGATCGCGTGTACGATAGAGAGAAGGGGACGGAGTGAAACGCGGAAATGGAACCGAACAAACCCGTTGTTTTCAGTAAGATTTTTTTTAGTGTGAATCAAAGACTCGGGAATGTGACAAGGACTCTGGAACAGAGAACGGGTTTAGACTGTAAATAATAAATAATTATATTTAGTGGTTCGTCGAGTCGCTGATATTGTTGTGCCGAAAACAAAAATGAGTGGAATGAAATGGGTAACGGGTGAATCCCGCGATTCTAATTGTGTCGAGTAACGGATGATGACGTGTGTGACAGCGTAGAAGCACTGGACGTAATTTTAAATTTGTATATAATTGACATTACAATAAACTATGTAAACAATTACTATCGGTCCGTAGCGTTCATTTGACTTGTTTCGCAGGAAACGTTCTCTCGTGCGGAATACACAGTTGTCGAAGGGATACACACAAGTAAGTAATAATAATTCGAGACATTCTTAATTGTTACGTAAAACGAATCCAAGAAAGGGACAAACATCTTTATTCGTTTGTTCGTTTCGAAAGCTCTAGTACTCTTAATAATACAGGCACGACATACATACAGTTACGACAAATTTGCAAAAACTTCGGTAAACTCGTCGCGTGAATGTGTTTAAAATTAAGACACAGTAGAAAAGATCATTTTAATTATTTTTGTTGCCACAATAACGATAGACACGTTGGATGATCCATGGATCCATCGTTTTCGAAAAATCTCACGTCTAACTATGAACGATTATAATATAAACGCGGGCAACCGATTGTAAGATTTCGTGGTAACTTAGAACACTTATCGGTAAGTCAGTTGAATTTTCTCTCAATTATTCCTTAGGTTGCACAGTGATGCCAAATCGCGCGAAAACCTGGATAAAAACCCCAAAAATGAGGATGTAAATTTCGAGTTTTGAATCATTTGTTTTGGTACACAGTTGGGTCATTAAACGTCGAGGGGTAGGGCGTCGATCATTTCTACCTGGATCTATAATTCAGTGCGAAAGTGACCTTAGTTCTAACCGCACCTTACGTCGAGAAACAGCTGAAACGTGTCGGTCACTTCAAAACAGTGTATAACACTGGTGAAAGTGCAACTGGTGTGTGGTGAAACGAAATCATAATTGAAGCGTAAAACATGAAAATTTGTGATCTCTTTGTACAAGAAAATACGGAAAAATTTCATGTGAAAATCAGAGAACTTCATATTTCGGACAGATTTTCCCGATTCGGCACCACTGCGCGTTGCAGGTACAATATGTATATTAAAAGCTCTTTAATGTGAATCCCATTATTCTCTCAACATTCTCCCTCGTACGAATTCAAACCAGCGAATATTCTCTCGTATTTTTACCACAAAGTATGTGCTTGCAGAACGATAAAGCTTCATCAACGTAGAATTTTGTTAATGCAAGCCCACCCCTACCCCTTATTTAATACAGACACGACCTCGTGAACAGATTAATAGAAGGATTAGCGAGACCCTGCTACATCTCTCGTTCCTACGATGCATGATTAATACGCCGACAAGTCCACGTCAGAGGAAACTCCCTTTTAAATCCGATTCTTAGTTCATTCGAGCGATCTTTCTCCTCCGTGATATTCGGATCAGCGAAACGCTATCGTCACCCCGTCTTTTTTTGCATTTCGCTTTTGATAACTTTCTTTTTTCAGTCGGCGATATTTCATGAACTTACCCAATTATTCGCTCCAACTCGACTTACCAACACAATTCACATCCCCGGGGAAAAGTTCGAAACGAAAAATCTGTTCGCGGACCCGGGGCTGATTATATTCCCGTTTCGATTGAAATTACGTCGAAATGAAAAAAAAAAAAAAAAAACGAAAAGGAACGGGATTAAACAATCGACATTCGTCCTCCCCCCATGGACGTTTTTTTACAAAACTTCTCACGGCCCCTCGTTCGAGGAACTTCGACCAGCAGGCACGAATATTCCGTCCGAAATTCACGGATCACCGAAGTGTGTTCCCTTTCCCGGGGATTGAACTTTACGAAACTTCGAGTGGAATTTCACCCTTCGATCCCCGTAATTTCAAACCGTCCCGAAGCTACGAAACACCACCTCCGCCATCCCCCCTTTCCGTATTTATACCCGATGACGAAGGGAGTGCGGGACAGTAAACACATCGCGAACGTGTTTGAAGTTACGCTGAAATTCCGTTTACAGTGGCCAAAACTATCTTATTTGACGACAAAGAGACGGCGGAGCATCACGAATCGGACCGAAAACCGCTTCAATAAACTATATTCGAACACGTTATGAATAGCTCTGTGAAGACAGCGGGTATAATTGTAGTCTGGTTATCCCTATTAGATCGTCACGGTATTGTGATGGAAATGTCAGTGTACCTATGATCGTACATCACGATGCTTTAATCAGACCGCCAGATCTGGATTCGCTCGGGCAAATCGAAATTAAATCTTCGTTGCATCGTGCGATGCTGTTTCCCAGTAATTAAGTAATTATAACGTCGAGATCGTATCGGTTAGGATAGAATTGCTTGAAAATGAAATTGAAAAAAATTACTCGATTATCAGCATTTTTAATGTTGACGTAATGTGATAGAGAAAGTTCATGGAAAAGTCACGTCAAATTTGAATAAAATCTGCTCGAAATTGATCGAATCGGTAATGACACTTATCGTGATTCTCTCTGAGCACGAATCGTTGCAGCTCGGACAATACGATCGATGATACGCATACGCCATATAGGCCATGTAGCTCGAAGCTAAATAATAATTTCGACAATGATGTTATTTTACTACGGCGAACAGGAAACAATAGCAAAAGTCTAGTCAACTCCCTTGTGCCATACATTTCTGATCTCTCTGACAGAGAGATATACATAATACGCGTGTACATATTTATACGTATATAATATTGCCAATCATAAATGCACTTTAGGTTCCGTTCTAGTCGGGACGTTCGCTCCTGCGCGCGGGAACCGATCGGAAAGGTATGCTTTCTCGATTCTCTGTCGTGTTTCCTGAAAGAACAAGGTCTGTGGTTATTTTTTTTTTTTTTTATTTTCAATTATATTTCTGCAAGATCTCGTTCGATGACGTTAAACAAAAGCGTACATTATTTCCTATTTTATATAATGTATCGGAAACTTAAAGCCTTGACGTTTAACCCTTTGAGCCTCGAGTCTCGAAACGAAACGCCCTACTAAACTACGAAGAAACACGCTCTACGGAACGAAGGAAATCAATTACGTTCACACCGAAGGTATATAAAAAGTATCACAAATTTAACGTTCTTTCTTTCTACGTATCAATGATTTTATGTAAGGGGGTTCGATGACTGATACGGATTCGAAGGTAAAGGGACGCACGGTTTACGCTTAAAAAAAAACAATACAAGTCGAATTGCCGTCGAGACTCCAAAGGTTAATCTTACAATTAATGAATATCGCACCCTACCTGCTACGTTAAGTTTGACAATTTAATTGCAAAGTGACGATACAGCAAACACTCTATTCAACTAAGAAACATCGGCTACAATAACTTTCACCACAGAACGCGGTTGCCTTGCAAATTACATTCACAAGATATTCCCTTTGAAATGCTACAAATCAGTGTCGCTATGATACTATTAAACCACCCTTAATCCCTTAGCTGCGACGAATTACCGCATACGGAACACAGGCAGTGCACTGAGTATCACCGTAGATTTTTAATCTGTCATCTTTAATTTAACCTTTTAGCTACAGCAACACTAAACGCGGAACGGTATCTCTGTACGGCGAGCACTGCCACGGACTGCGCAAAAACGGCATTAGTACCGAAATCAGTGTCAAAGCCGATACTTTAATTTTTTCCAAATCAAAGCCGACATGCACATGGCTTCGAAACGCCATAAATTTAATAAAATCACGTTCTGTTCTTATACTTTGCGTATAAAAACGTTTCCATGACATATACATAATGTACAAGGTTTTAAACACGAGATAAAGAAGTGAACCACTATAGGTGGCGTACAGTAGCTAAAAGGTTAACAGTGTCACAATACAAACCAAGCGACACACTTAAATGGAACCCTATCTAAAATCACTAGCAAATCTTGCTATTTCCCCGGGAAAATCTTCGTCGCAGCGAAGGGGTTAAACCGCAACGGAAAGGATATTATCTCAATCCCACTGCGCCCCCGATAAAGCAAGCACCGTGGATCACTTGAACGATCAACGCGTCGATCGTTCCGACTAGATCGGCGTACGTTTCGATTCGTTGGCTTCACCATCGCGGAGAAGACATCCTCGGCGATCCTATCCCTCGATCGAGACCGGAAGTGTCCTGCCCTCTCGGCCGTGCGAAAGTAACGCGTCCCCTTAGGCGTGTGTATGTGTGTGTGTGTGTCTGTGTGTGTCACTGTGTATGCTTACAATAGGCGAAGATTAAACATTAGCGATTCATCCTCGGTATGGAAAGTTCGTAAAAGATCCCTATCCTACGTCGAGCTACGAGCGCGTTTCCGGTACCAGGGGATCCGCGAGTGTCTCCTCCGCTCGCGAGGTCGAAACAGAAGAAGAACAAAAACCAAAAATATACAATACGCTTCGCGTGGCACGCCCCGTAGAACTTCTAATAAATAGTCCCCGAGTCTGTGGATTAAACGAGAGTGATCTGAACGCCGGGAATGGTACGAGTTCGCGTTCGCCTGAGCGGTTCCAGGTAGGATTTTTCAGAAGATGTTCTCAGTCAAGAGTCCCTACAATCTTTCGTTTCCGTAACCATTCAACGCATGTTGGCGATATACCGCATAATTTTTGTGGTTCGAAGACAATCGCTCTTTATACTCGATAAATTTTCGTCTCACTTTCGAGAGGAAACGAACAAAAAAGCAAACAAGAATTCATACGGTACGGGGTTAAACGTGAACTAAGTACCATTGGGCCGTCAAGATCCTCTCGCACGCTGCGATACATTACGATGCGAATCGACGCAACACACGTTATTACACATGGGGCTGGCGCTAGAAAGACAGTTTTAACGTTCAGAAAACAGTGCTAGGGCACGTAGAGTTCACGGTTAAGCACGGCAGATTAATGAATTACAACGTTACGACTTTCATCCCACGCCTCTTTCTCTCTCTCTCTCTCTCTCTCTCTCTCGTTACTTCTCATTTTCTTTTTATAGTATCGTTTTCTCGAATAAAGCCTTATCACATCAATGTACAACGACGACATTAGGGAGGCCTACGCGACTGCTCGACGTTCTGCGTGCAACCGAAGGCTTTCTTCATCCTCGCGTATCGCTCTTAGAACGCATCTAAATTGGTCTCTAAGTTCTATTTCTCAGGCAGGTGCAAAATTGGCCCTCTCTTCTCTCAGTAGCAATCTCTACGGGAACGCGAGCTTCCCGATCCAACTGGTGCGCTACCACTTCGCCCATTTTTGCTCAAACCCGTTCCCCCTACTCCAAGGCGTTTCCTCGTTGTACGTCGCGCACAGTACAGGTCTTACAGATCGCTCGAGTTACCCTCAATTCGTTTAATTAATTAGATACTGGCGTACTAGAAGCGTTCGGTCTCCTCGATGAAACACACAACGCTTCGGTGTTTCGTCGCTCGACGCTGCGTCGCAACGGGACTCGTTCATGAATTGACACGCGCGCAACTTTTGCAATGGTTCCTGGATTTTTATCTGTGTCACATGCTCGCAGAAAGAAGACGCGCGCGCAGCAGCTCTTACAATTCGAATTTTTCTGCTATCTTTAGAACACAATATTGCTTAGCGATTTCGTTAAAAGAAAACCAACGCCTTCCTTTCTCTCACTTTAGCAAACGACGGCCATTACAAATATGGTGCATCGCCGAAGTGTCAGAATCGTCTGACCGTAGAAATTATGGTACAGACGAATATAAAACAGCAATGATGATTCATCGAGAAACGATCGTAGAAAATTGATGAGTAGAAGCAATTGAGCATTTTCCGAAGGTTCAATGGAAATCGCTTTCTCTCGGTGAAACGCGCGTATTCTTCAATTTATGAACGGATCACGTATCAAGAGTCGCTCGCTTATTACCAAGTAATATCGAAAAAACGTCTATAAAGATTGTAATTACGATTACATTATAAATCTCGAATAATTCGCCGCCGAAGAGGCTCGCCAAAAAAACGCGCTCTACGAATTACAATTTCTTTTCCCCGCGACAAATATATCGAGGTCGCTCGATCGTTTTTATTCCTCGACTACCAGTACGATTGGGCTAATATATCGCTTACTTTCAGTCGTTTTCTCGTGATTGCGTGTATGTGTGTGTGTGTGTGTGTGTGTCTAAGCTCGTTTAAGCTTCTCGGTATTTTGTGCGTGTCGGGTAAGAAAATTTCACCTTTGAAATCGCGACTAAAAAGTAAAAACGCCACGATAGGATGAGCTGGAATGCTTGAAAGGTCCATCGATTACCGACTGAGTGGTCGAACATTTTTTAAACAACAGAAAAACGAAGAAAGAAAATGGAACATCGAAAGTCGTGATATGTACCGAGTCATAGAAAGCTGTTTTGTTGCGTATTGCTTCGATCGCCTGAGGAATTATAAGAACGTTATAGAAATTTATAGAACAGGCCCCACCCTATCATCGGGCGTTTGACGCAGCTTTAGATCGACGAAATCGATCTAGAGGTCTCGACACCGATCTCCGGTTTACGGAGCGGCCGAGAGAAGATCGCAAGTTCGTTAACGATACAATAAAATAACCGCGCACTATAACCGCACGAAGCTGTCCTCGGATTAACATGGAATAGCAACGAATCCCCGCTAGTTAACGACTTAAATGATTACGGCAGAAGTAGTCGATAAGAACGGTGTTAAGTGAAAACATTTCCGTGTATGCCTTCGTCGCGCAAAAACATATCGGCCACGATGGTAGACATCAGAAGAAGCCAGCATCTTGTTAATAGTATGTGGATGAATCGTTTTTTGGTTCTCGTGTCTGAATGTCTCAAAGGAGCTAGCATTTATTAGCCGCACACTGATAAACCGCCTCCCTAGCAAATGCAGCCGCTCTCCCCTTCGGATTCGGAACCATTCTGCATCGGTGATTGATTCTGCAAGTCGACAGCTGCTTTCGTGTGTTAAGGCGTTATCACAATTGAGCGTGACCATTAATTCAATTTCATGATATCGCGTTACATCGTGGTACATACACCAAAACTATGCCTAACATTCCTTTATTTCCCAGAATGAATCGGTTCATGTGATTCGCAATTGATATTATATTGAAAATTTCGTGATCTTATAATTCTATACGATGCAAAGAACGTGTTAGACCTTAGAATCGATACTGTAAATTTTAATTATAAACTGTTCAAAAATGGGACGGAGCATTCCCTAATATTAATAATAGTGAGAAGTTTACAGCTACGAAGCACCTTAATAAAAGATTATACATTCAGTGCTGTCTGTCACATTTTTACACTACCATACAAAGAATCGTATGAATATTAATGCTACGTAAAATATCGGACAAACACGGATAAAGCAAGTCTCATAGCAACATCGAAACAAGGAAATATTTATATATATATATGTATATAAGGAAAAATGGCAAGAAAAATTGTGGAGTTTAGAAAATTAATATAAAAAAAAAGATAAAGCTATTTCAGGTTTTTTTATATAAATTAAAATATTACAATAATTATTAACAAAAATGTCATAATATTAGGTATAATAGCATTCTGTCTATCCATATCCCAATTTTAAGTTAATATGTACAAATCCGAATTTGTCAGAATCTTTTTGCTAATTCCTCTATCTATACGTTTTCCTCCTTTTATATAAATGAGTCTAATTCAGTTCAAAATGTATAAATAATACTTCAACAGGAAATGCAGTATGTTAATTTATGCAGCGATTGTCCCAACACAGGGGAAACCCTTATACATGAGCAATGTGTTCTTAAAATATTTGTAAAAAATGAGATAACATTAGCTGTTAGTTTTGCGTCGTTGCTATTCGTTTTCTTTAAGTTATTCTCTTTTCAATCGTTCGTAGTACGCACGCAGGTACATTCTGTGTACGAGTTTTTTTCTTCACTATTTCAGTTTAAATCGAAATTGAATTGATATAATTATACGAGACTCTTATTGCTGATAGTTGCAATCACTTCAAATCAATAGATTTTTGTTGATTAACTTTTTGACTGCATTTACGCAATACGTAATTTTATGGTTTCACCATTCAGTAAATTCTGATAGCACCTTATATATACATAACTCTAATATATAAGTGCACCATATCATGCAACTGCAACATCGATCATGCACACGACTAGTATCCCGTTAAAAAGATTCTTTTTTTTCTCAGAATGCAAAACATATTAGGTTCCATTAGTTAAAGATAAAATTATAAGTACACGCGACCAAAAATGCTCGTTTAAAAGTTTTATTTTTCAAGTTAAAAAAAAAAATAAATCAATGTGTTCTCTAAACATGACAGGTGTCAATCGTTGACACGTTAAAAAAGCAAGCAGCAGTAATAAATGATTCGAAAGTTTAAATAAATTGGAATATGTTGATTGGATATACTGATACACACGAAACACGTTATTGTGTAAAAGCAGTCTGCTTAAGCTACCGTGTGATATTTATATTCTCATAAACAAACAATTCAAGCTATTCAGTGTAGTGATATTACTTTCCACATTTTGAACTGTGGAAAGAACACAGGCTGAATATGCCACAGTCCTAGCGTCGAAAGTTTAATTTATTAATTTAACTTAAGTCAGTGTCCTGTCTACCATTAAGCTGATCGGTGGTTTAACATGCACAACTGCTCTCCGTTGCTTTCAGTTCAATTGGTGTATCCTTGAGAACTACTTCTTGCACTACAGGTTTAGCAACATATTAAGGAAAACACAAAAAGAGAACAGAAAAAAATAAATTGTTAATAATATTAAATAATAAATATTAAGAAATCATGTATTCCAAATGATGTTTAAAATATGGGCAACAGTGATGAAAGACTTTTAAGTGATGAAGTTGGTTTAAGAAATATTTTATAACTTAATTAATATGATTCCTGTAAAATATAATAATTAACTGTGTAACAAACATAATTGCTATATAAATTGAGGACCTAGGATATGCTTCTCACTGCTATATTCTTAGAAAAAAAATTCCTGAAATTCAATTGTGTATGTACCATGCATATGTGTGCATTATATATCTTACAAAAAGGATACTGTCTTCAGGAGGCTTATTTTCAGTGGAATCCATGCCTGGTAAAGCTGCTGCTACTCTTCTAAACAGCTGAAACACAAATAAAACGTAATTGTCAGTTAATAATGTTAGTTGTTAAAATAAATGTTACAACTATTATTATGACACTTACTTGTTTTACATTATACCCGGCTTTAGCACTAGTTTCAATAAACATTACATTCAACTCTTTAGCTTTTCGTTCACCTTCTTCTGTTGAAACTTGTCTTTTCTCACTCAAGTCTGTCTTATTACCCACTAACATAATAATTACATCACTACCCCTCTCAGCCCGAACATCATCAATCCACTTTGATGTTTGGTGAAATGAATTTGCATCTGTGTAAACAGTTCAGGTTCGTAGATGCAGTAATATTAGACTAATGTGACCAGTTTCCTTATAAATTGTACTTACTAGTAATATCATATACGACAACTGCAACTGTAGAATCTCTAATGTAACTTGGTATCAAAGATCTAAACCGTTCTTGACCTGCAGTATCCCACAGCTGTAATCTTACAGTTCTATCTTCCAGATACATAGTTTTACTTAGAAAATCTATACCTATTGTAGCCTGCAACAAATAATATTATTTCTGATTACTGTAATATGTACAACACATACTCTGCTGTAACTTCTTATCAATATGTAATATATGCATAGGTACTACAGGTTAAAGATCCCTTTCTATTAAACATTATTATGTGTATACATAACAGAATAATAGAACTTGATTGATAACCTGTGATAATCTTATATTTTGTTTCTCTGAATCTGTCTATTAGAAAAGTCAATATCTTGGTCTTAGTAGAGTCTCTCCTACTAGCATTTGTCCTCGGCATATGATATTGACTATTTCATAGAATAAAAGTATATCTCATTTTAAAGTTATAATAGGTTTAATTAATTTTACCCAAAAGCAAGATATAAATAATTTCAGAAATTTTCAGTATTGGTTATATGATAAAGCAGGTAAGGAAAACAGTTCTACAGTACATAGAAGAACAAACTCTAACAAATTATTCCACATTTTTCATGAAACCATTAGTTTCATCATACCTGATACGTGTTGTCAAAGCTGTCATACATAAACCGTGTAATAAGAGATGTTTTTCCAACTGCAACATCAAATCACACAATTAATGCAAAAAGTCAATTACATTTTACTAAGACATTATATGAAATTATAATCAAAAGTACAAAATTTTCTCAGTAGATAAGTGTCAAATCTACACAATAACTCTCTACAATTTGCATTACAGAAATTGAAAGACATAAAATATTAATAAGCCTATCATTTTTTTTCAGTGATCATTAACTATTTAAATACATCCAGTATTGTTGAATATTGCAATTGTAGTAAGAGTACGGTATTTCGACGTGACCCGTAATCATTTGAAAGGAAACAAATATACCGCACACCGTACGAAGTTGAATACATAAATTAGAAATTTTAACGGTTAATGGATACTTCTATAGGTAAAAGCAAGAAATCATTGAGTATAATACGAAATACGCATAAAATTAGTGACATCGTTCAAACTGAATAGTACATCGAGACGGTGACAACAAGAACGACGCCAAATTCGATCGCAACGATTATGTTGCAAAGCGGCCAGAAATATTGATCTATAACCTAGAACAGCGGACGGAATTCAAGTGAAATTTCCAACCACGACAAACGAAAAGTCTTCGACAATGTAAAACGGTTGGGTACATCGGTAATATTGATCGAAAATCAACGGAAGTGTATGCAGAAAATACTTACCGCTCTGTTCACCGAGAAAGACAAGCTTGAATTTACGCAACGGGTTTCCAAAATCACCCGAAGACGACATTTTCTTTGTATATCAGAACTACTACACGATGAGTTGTCAATACTAAGCGCACGGGAATAACTTAATTGATGCGACGAGTCATTAATTTTCACGAGAATTCATTTAACTTGACAGATCGTAGAGCCACTCCTTACTTCAGTCGTGAGGCAGCCACGTTTAACTGGGAAGTGACGTCATTGGTTAGGAGCTATCGTGTCAGGTTTTGGTCATCTTCATCTAGATGGCGTTCGACTTATAAAATACCGAGTAAAATCAGGTGCTATGTAGGTGCTTTTACTCATAACTATTTGTATGAAGGTATCGATACATACCCGGTATCGAAACGAAAGTATCGATACCTACTTGTATCGAATTATATTTTTCTAGATTTGATACTCAACACAAAAGTTATTTCTGCGTTGAGAGAGAATAAAATACAATACTATACTTTACATATTTATTTAAATATTTAATATAAAATATAAAACATATAAACATAAACGTATGTATAAACTATATACGATATACGTAATATAAGATATACATGATAAATAAATATTTACAAACAACTCACACACATAGGGTCTCTTACACATGCTCCACGGGTTCTATGGCACTCTACTTGCCAAGCTACATCTCACAAACATGGGGTCTCTTACGTATGCTCCGGGGGTTGTAGGACCCCCTTTAAAAAGCTACTACCACCGACTAGGTATAGAATAGACCTATCATCCAATGCTTTTTTCTGTCCCACGTTCATAGGGCTACGTAGCCCTGTTACCATTTTAGTATCAATATCCGACGTTACCGATAAAGCATGACTTCTGAGTATTATTAGCACAAATCAAGTGTTATATATTCCATTCATATTACGTGTATCTATTTGATTTCACGAGAATAAAAATATCCGATGCTTCAGTTTAAGGTTAAGGGATAAATATGACAGTCATGAAACATGAAACGGAAAAGTATATATTTTTTCACTTAACTACAATACAATTTCTTAAAGAAATCTGTATAAAGGAGTACAATAATAAGCACGTAATAATTTTCTTAATAAAAATGATATTTCAATTTATTCTTGTATCAACAGCCTGGAAACTCGTGAAACCATAGTCTCGGTTCATAAATTAATATCAATATTCTAAACATTACATGAATTGGTAACGTATATGTAAGAGACCCCGTATGTTGCAGCATTGGGTCATAGAACCCCCGGTGGGGGCGCCAGAGGACCGTGTGTAGTGCGTGGGGTCGTAGAACCCCCGGTGGAGGCTCCAATGACCCCGTGGAGTGCGGAGCAGTGTCACAGCACCCCCACAGGTGGCGTCAGAGACCCCGTGTGGTGGAACCGTGGGGTCATAGAACCCCCGGAGGAGGCGCCAGAGACCCCGTGTGATGAGTCGTGTTAATACATATGTAGCTAAATGCATTTTAAAATATTTATTACCTGTTGATAAAATATCGACGTTATTCGATTTAAAAATCGACTAACAACTAACTTCTCTTCAGTGAGTTATCTTCACAATTGACGATCAGTTGGTACTGAATATATGTACACACCTGGAACTTTCATATAAAAGTATATCATATTGGGGGCGTTTTGTTAATACATGTTGTCGTTCACAAAATTCCATTAGGAATTTAGTGTATAAACATATGGCTTTTTCTCATACGAACGACATTTCGTCGTGATTTTCGATTACATCTCATTGACATTTGATGATTGTGTTTGTAGTGCTACATACTATGTATGTATTTCCTGTCAAGAAACACTGTGCCATGACAGATATTACAACAATGAGCAATTTTTAATAATTATTATTCAAGGTCACAATAGTGTATTAAAGGAGGAGGTAGTGGAGAACGTTATGGAGGGTGTCCATGGACAACTACAGACTAAATACCAAAAAATTGCCACAGAATACTCAAAAGTAAGGAAAGAATATGTAGTATACTACGTACATGACATTTAAGGTTTTCAGATATATTTATAAAGCAAATCATTTGTCTTCTGTCTTCATATTATGTGTTCTCACTTATTTTCTAATATAATTTAACATCCCCCAATATTACTTACACAAGTATTACCAAGATTTTTATTTTCTAGATTCGTGCTCAAGCAAATGTTCTAAAAAAGGCTGTGATCGATGAACAAACACGTAATGCAGATATTCGTGAACAATTAAAGGAAAAAGAAGTTGAACTTCGAAGAGCAGAACAAGAATTAGATAGTTTATCTTTTCGAAATCAACAATTGACTAAACGCATAACTGTATTACAGGAGGAACTTGACAAAGCGCAAAATAAATCCAAAAAGGGGAAAAATAAAGTATCAGATAATAATAGCCAAATACAAGCACCGCCAAATCATATCTTAGATGAAGAGTTTCAAAAGAAAATAGTTGAGAATGCTCAATTGTTATCTCAAATCAGTGATAAAGATAGTGAAATTGAAAGTTTAAATGAAAGGATACAACAATTAGAATATAAATTAGACCATTGTGAAAAATCTAAAGTTGAATTAGAATGTCAATATCAAAGCACAATAGACAAACTAGAAAGAGAAAGAAATGATTTACACAGAAAGTTAAACGATAAACAGAAACAAGAAGAAACTGTGTCTTGGTCTAGTAATGAAGGTAAACGTGATGGATATGAATTGGATAGCAAAATAGGAATATCTAATCATCGTCAACTGGAACAATCTCCATTCTCATCGCCACTTGCTTCGCGTAGATCATCAAAATCAATTGAAGGCAGACCTTCTAAAGGACAGGAGGATAATAATGATATTGATTTTCCAAAATTAGTTTGCTTAGAAAAAGAAATGAATCATTGGAAAGCACAATATCACATACTCAAACTAAAATATGATGAAATAGAACAAAAAGAATGTTTAAATACTATGCAAGTAGAGAATGAGTCTTTGCAACCAACAAAAATAAATAACATGGTAATATTTACTTTAACACCTTTGTATACATTTTCTCTGAAACTAATGTAATTAAATCAATGTTCATAACAGATTGGAACATTGACAGTACCTTTTCCTATACCAGAAGAAATTGAAGCTCGAGAAGCAAAAATCAGAGATTATTTTCTACAAGAGATTGATAAATTAATAACGGAGAAAAGTATTTATCATGTTAAAAATTTAGCTATGGCTGCTAACGTAATTAACTTACATTTAATCTATTTTTATAAGATCGATATTACTTTCCAATTGAATGTCTTATTTAAGAATACTTTTTCAGAGCGAAGTTATGCAAGTTCATTTAGACAGAAGTGAATCGAAGAGAAAAATATGTGAATCCTCACTCACAGAAGCGTTCTCAAACTGTAGTATACTGCAGAAAGACAAAGAGATACAAGAAGGAAATTACAAAACCCAACTTAGTACTATGAGTGAACATCTAGCAAACATGAATGAGAAACTTATTTCTCAAACAGAAGAAATACAACAACTGAAGTTTGAACTTGCTAATAAGGTAAACATTTATTCATAGATGTAAATATTAATATCTTAAGTACTTTGTACATGATTCAATCATTTTCAGAACAATAAAAAGGGAAAACAGAAGTGATATAAGTTTGATTACAAAGTAAGAATTATTGACATTCCATCAACAACACAAACTAATCAGAACTGTTGGTAACTTTAATTTCGTGTAACCGTGACTCATACTTCAGAAATAATAATTACAAGTTTGATCACATCCTTATTAATATACTAAAGAACTTCTAAAATCAGTGTTATATTATTCATGGATTTAAAATAAGAATTATTATTAACGTTCGTTCTTTGAACGTTTATAATACAAGAACTTTACATAGAATCATAAATACATGGTATTAACATTTACACATATTTACAGTCAGTTTATTACAATGTCAATTGAACAATTTGTTCCTCTATACTCTGAATTAAATAGTTTGTTTATAATTTACTTGTTATAAAATAAAAATGTAAAAGCTTATACATAACAAATATCCCAAAATATTCCATGTGTAATAATTGTGATGAAATGAAATGAAAAATATGCTTCTACAGCAAAAGTGTTAACATACTTTCAGCTGTTATTTTCCCAAACAGATAATAAACATGATGCAGATAAGATTTTTTCCCTCTAAATTTAAATATACTATATGCGAAGAAACCATTACACTTTAATAGAAAAACTGGCTCCGCAACTACAACCTTGCTCTGCTAAAGGATTATTAGTTATCCTAAATGCAGAACGTATTAATTCCGTATGGTATTCTATTGTTGCTCCTTTAATATATTCTAAAGATGTTGAATCTATAACCACTTTGGCACCATCCTTTTGAAATATTCTGTAACACAGTACATTATTTAATTATCTTCTATTAGATAAATATAATCATACAAGTACCTTATTTTTTGTATACATATGCTTACTTGTCATCTTCGTTTATATTTGTGTCAAAGTCAAATTTATATTGAAATCCTGAACAACCTCCTCCTTCTACCGTCACTCTTAAATATGCATTATCGTGTGTAATTTCCTTTAGTCGTTTAACACAGCTGTCAGTAATAATGATGCCATTTTCTGGCTTGACTGCAGTTGCTGCAGACATTTCATTTGACGAAACAGTAGATACATTGTACCATGGAGATCTACCAATCAAAATAATTTCTGATCAGTTTATTAATAATACAGACTTGCAATATTTCAAAACATTTCATAATAGTATATACAATATGTAATACAATTTGATCTCTGATAAAAAATACGGAACATTTATTGTTGACATTATATACTCTTCTATTTATATTCCATTATCAATAATAGAATTTTTTGCTGCAGAATTAAGTTAAAACACACGTAAAATAAATAGAATAAGATATTTAATTAAAGCTTTACTTACGTCAACAAACGTGAAAAATATCGGTTTGCGACGAAATTAGAAGAGAGACCCCAAATAGTATGTTTCAATTTCGCCATATTTTTAACAAGCGTAAGATAATCAACAACTTCATAATACATAGACGTGAACAAGAAACATAATCACACACTATTTGCCACCGAACTTATAGAATAATTAGTGGAAATATTACATGCACATCCTTAGTAATAAATTTTAGTTACATTATATTCATTGCTGAGGAAAACTACGAAACCACCATGCTAGTTGATGCTAGTGAGCAACAAAGAGCATAAGGTAGACTGAAAGCAGCCAATAAGAGTTCCATGTTAAAAGATAGTATATGAATTTCAACGCCCTCTGCTGGCTGATACCCTCAAAATTTCGCTAAAGCGGCAATATTTCAAATTTTTTAATTTAGTAAAATTAATTAAAATAATAGCTAAAGAACAAATAATGAAAAAAACAGTAAATTTATTATTATTTAAATTTTTACCAATGCTACGAAATGTACATAAAAGATAAATAAACATACAATAAATATAATAAACAAAAATGAAATTACATGAAATATAATAATATGTATGTACCCTCACGAGCAAACTCGGTTTCTGCTAAGGAAAAAAGTTGCGTTGGGAAAGGGCCTCCTACCATGCTCGTACCACGTAATATTTGAAATTATTGAAATTTATGCTGAATAAACATTCGATTTAACATTTGTTTCAGTACCTGAAATAAATTTATGACTCCGCTGGGTTTACTACCTTGTCAATCATTAATAGCTAGTATATTTCTTGGAGGATTTGATGACAGATGTGAGAATATTTTGCTAAACAGCATGTATTTGCTTCTACATAAATTTCGGACATTTACGGTGATATTTCTTACATTAATGCATACAGTAAAACGTTTGATTTTTAATAAAACTTTTATATATAAACAATATAAACTATTATAATATTCTGCATCGCAACGTTCGCGTAAACGATACAAAATACTCAAGTTGCGTTATAACAAATTTTTTACAATAATATGTTTTATAGATTTAAAGACTTAAGCTAACTTTATATTCACAACTAAATATGTTTCGTATTTTCAAATCGATAAAACATCCTTAAAATTATAATCTGAAGAATACCTTACGAATGATGCAATAATGTACAAAGCAGCGTTGTCCTCAATGTTTATAGGATCGACGCAGTTATCAGTTGAACAATACAAATATGAGATTAAGGGTCAATTTCATATAGGCCATAAAACTCATATGTATATGTATGTATATAAGAAGCACTTTAGCTTTCGCCCTGCGGTATTGGTGTAATTTCAAAATAATTTTATAAAAGCTTTTCTACTCGAAATGATACTTAAGCTAACGTTTATTTATAGATAATATATTGAATCATAAATAACTTCCGGTTTGCTTCCTTAAAATTATTTTAGCCTAAGATAATATCGAATTAACATTAATGTATTATTCTCCATTGACATCAATTATCTGTCCTTATTTATTTGGTATTTTATCATGCGTGGATCGTCCGGCTTACTTTCACCAAAAACTGAATTTTTTACACCTGTAATGAAAGTTACCTATGACTCAATTTAATAGATACTGTTGTATAAAATGAACAAATAACTGTCAGTATTTAATTATTTCTAAGAAGAATTAACAAATAAATGTTACTTTGAGCAAAAGGAATTATCACATGGTGATATTTTGAGTCAAGGTTATTAAAAATCTGTCAAGATCAAAATACAAAAGTCCAACAATTTACATATGAACTGCTTTTAAATACTGTATATTATTTTTCCATCACGATTCATCTGTATCATAAATTGAAGGTTCAAATTTCGAACATATGATGTAAACATTAATACATATTAATTATTTATTAATTTCGTTAGGTGCTAACAGTAACTGCATCATCCTGTATAATTATCTATAAGTTGAACATGATACTAGTTATGAAGTACTAATAGAACCCAAGTATGCAGTTCTCGATTTATTGCAGCGGGATGCATACTATATGTATAAAGCAAGCGCTAAAGCAGGTATTTATTTGTACTAAAATAATTCATTATTTTCAAATCTGTTACTATGTATAACATGATATGTCGCAATTAACTTGAACGTTTCAACGCGCGCGATCAATTCCTTCGACGATAGGAAGAATTATCGAAACATGTGCCTGGTTGGAAGGAATAAATATAACTATTTAGAGGAAAACCTCTTTTCCTCGAAGTCACTCCTAAAGAAATCTTTCAAGATTATCTATATTTGTTTTTCCAAATTCATGAACGCATCAAAACTGGTATTATAATCTACATCACATGACATTCGGTACATGAAACGCACATAATGTAGTTTGATATGTTATATGATGATCGAAAATTTTCTTGAATTCAAATATACGAATATAAAAATGGAGATACTGAGAACTGAAGATTAAATACACCGTGCAAGTAGCAGGCACTTAATCGACATCAAATTCCTTTTCTTTCTATGAAATTGGCCCTTACTTACATTTCGAGATTCAATATAAATAAATAACGTGCATATAATTTTCCCTACTATAAACTATCAATAATTGGTTGCTCTAATCAGCACCATATGTTGCGTAAAAAAATATCTTTGTCACCTAGTATTGACGCACTTGATGGCACGATTACTCGAAGAAAAATCATAAATTAATCTTAATATATCTCATCAATAAACTTTTAATTCCTAAGAAATTTCGTAAGGTTGTTTAATAATAAACAGTAAACTTTCGTTTATTCTATACGATAACACAGTAATGTCTCGATAAGTGCGACGAATTCGGGTCCGCTTCGGAACATTCGTGGAAAGATTTTCAGCACCTCATAAATTAGTTTTTTTAGACGAAGCCGAGCCTTTGCTTAGCTTCTGTTTACTCTGGATTGATTTCAGCGAGGGACCCCCCGTCCCCAAAGTGGTGGGAATAATGCCGTTGTTCGTGTTGCATTCATCGAGGAATCACTGTAGCAATTATATTTCATTGAACAAGAAATTTTTTCAAAATGCACAAACCTCGTTTATACCTTTATTACGGTATTTACAAATTGTTATATCCTTCTAATATTAATTATCTTTTGGTATTTTTAAAGATACACACCTTATGCTTCACCAAGAGTTTCTACAACGTTAAAATTCGTTAAAATTCTAAATATTTTTATACCTTTGGCGCAAATAACCCTTGAATGATTTAATTATGTATGCGGATTAAGTATGCATCTTAAAAAAAAATGAACAAACGGAAATTTACTGCGTTACTACATACAATTACGGTAAATATAACCAAATTTCGTTTATTTCTTTAAAGCTAAGATATTTATGTTAAACATGTTACAAATATCGTAACATTTTCAGAAGCCGAATCTCCCAAGAATTTAGCGCGTACTTGTCGTATATAAAAAAAATCTCCTTTCGCAATCTTTGCTAGACACGTAACACATGCTACGTCATCAAGCGCGTGAAGGTACTACACGTCTTCTTAATAAATAAATGTCTCAATTTTTATAAATAAAATACAAAAAAGAACTAAAGATTGTTTACGGAAATGATTTGGTTGATCCAGCCAATGAACGCCGAGACTTTGACATAAACACCAGGAACATCCAATCTTCCACAACCGAAACCCCATGAAACAAGACCAGCCAGCTCGTAAAATCCATCGTCTTGACATACCAAAGGACCTCCTCCGTCACCCTAAATATTATAATGTGACCATTACGATAATATTCTTATAAAAGTACAACTATTTACACAAATAATTAACACATTCTACGCCCAGACCTCTTTGCTAGACATTCTGTTCACGCCACGCGATGCTCACCATCATCGATGGTTATATTAGGTGAGTGCAAAATTTTTGATGGGTTCTACTATAAACCAGTACACTTATAGCGCTTTTAATTATAATTTAATATAGTTTGTTGAAATACACGGGCAAGTCATTCGCTTTAAGAGCTGTTACGCACTGTCGACCACTCGCCGGAGACTTGATCAACTGACGACCAAAAACCAAAATTCTGAACATTTTTTTTACCACCCCGTATATGAGTGACTTTCATAGTAGAATAAGTTTAATATAGTATGTTAAATGATAAAAGTAATGAATAATGTATTAATAATAAGGAAATAAACTATTCAAAAGGTTCACTCAATACGTTACACCCTGTATTTATAGTAATAATATACGTTATTGTTATTATTACAATTATTACCTGACACGCATCGTTGCCTTGTTCACCACCAGCACAAAAGCTGCTTGCTGGTAGAATGAAGATTTTTTCTGTCACTGCGTTCACTTTTCTTATACATTCCGCATCACTCACGATTGGTATTTCAGCTTCACGTACTCGAAGAGGAATGGGGCCAGCTATAAAGATCGTTGTTATTGCCTTCGTTAAATGGATTTACAAAAGTTTTATGAATTGTTAACATGAATTTTGAAGAACGTAATGACAATGACCACTAGCGTGAAACGTTAACAATTAAGCAGCAATAAGTTCAATGATAATAATTTAATGGAATATTCAATATTCACGTTTTCACGACGTTCCTGTTACATAAAGTCTGATAAGAAAAATTAAACAAAATACGTAAAAAAAATAATTGAAAGACAAATTTTGGAAAAAAATATATACATATATATATCCTGCAAAGATTGGAACCATTTCCTATACTCTGTATGATTGGCTTTCAGTTAAATATAACATTTGAAATTCATTCTTCACGTCACTTTAATTGTACAAAATAGTAAAACAAACGTTTAGCATTAAGTGAAATGTTCACCTTCACCCATGTATCCGTAACCGGTGACAGTACATCGCTTGCCAGCTGTATGACTAACTCCCCGCGCAGGTAAACACACAAGACAAACACCGTCCTTAAGCTCCGCTTGTCCATGGAGCTTTAACAGTGCGATATCGTTATCCAGAGTCTGACTGTTATGATTGTGATGAATGTAAGTGGTCGCAACCCGTAAGGTTTGCGCGCCAGGACTCCCATACTTCCGTGTTAGGTCGTGGTCGCCTACCCTCACGTATATCGCGTCTCCGGATCTTACGATGCTGCAAATAACCGTTATCTTAATATCTTTAAAAATACGGGCATCGAGGTGCAGCATATCGAACTTTTAAATTTTTATCAGAATTTTTAAGTTTTATTTTTCTACGGGCAGAGATATTTCAACCCTTTAACGCCCAGACACTTAAATTATTATTTCAGAATTATGAGACTGATATACAGGGTGTTCGCTATAAATTGGACCAGCATTTTTCTCGTAAACAGTAAGTATTTCAAATAAATGGAAGAAGAAGAACTCACAGTATATCTTACTGAGAACACAATAACCTATGTCAATTTTTTATATTTACATTATTGTCCGAGAAACGAATATGACCTTCAGATTTTTAAATGGAATGCTATATGCTTTTTAATGTCATATAAAAGTGTGGGATAAGACGAATTCATCCATAACACAATTACGAGCCACCCCCTAACCACCCCCCTTAATCCGGCACTGGAACCACCCCTTAAAGTTGCTGACACCTGTAGCCGAAGAACTTGTATATTTCAGGATAATGAAACTTACTTTGTAACGCAATGCGCTGCCGTAAGCACCCATTGTGTTCCGATGAGTGCACCGCCGCAGAGATACTGGTTGAGAGAATTAATTAAAGCAACTTGCCAACACCATTCGTTCGCATCTGCGTCCTCGCCCCCAACGACGCGTGCTCCTCGGTCAAAGCTACGTGCTTGGATTGGTCCACGAGAAGTTCCCTTCACACCACATACGTACTTACTGTATACAGGACTTCTCATGGTTGTTGTCATTGTCGTTGTTTCATCTATAACATCGACATTATTTTTCATATTAATTACAGAACAACTTGTACAACAAAATGTATACGAAGGACACGGACCACAAGCTTCAAAGTACTAATTATAAATAACATCAAGAAACAATAAGGAATTGAGGACGATGCAATTATGAATTCGTGCTAGATATTAGGTATCTATTGAAAAATTAACTTGGTTAATATATCGGCACAAAATATGATTATTGTTATTATACACAAAGAAGTATATTCTTTATCGAATGTATTCACTTTCAATTAATTCGTTGATTATATAATATACAACTGTATATTATATAATATACAAACAACAGATATATTATATTATTTCATAACTTACACACTGTTGTCGTCAGTGGTGTTGTATATGGCCTCGACGTAACATACATGGTATCGTTTCTATTACTCAAAACTGGCTCGCTTGAATTTCCACCACTGAACTCTCGGATCAGCGATTTTGGCGCACAACATTGATGCCCGTGTTTCTTGCATTTGAATAAATTTGTCAGTTCAGCGTTTCCTAAAAACACATCAGTAGAAAATCTTTTTTACACGTGGCAATGATTTTTTTCCACTCCTAGCTTCTATTCAATTCTTTCAGAAAAGTATCTCTTTTTTATCGAATGTATTGTATACAGTGACTGGCCTGAACGGAATGATCTGCGTGGGGCGTATGCGTATCGTTCTCGCGAGCGCATGACTCCGGCATAGTCCACGAAGATTTAAAACTGCTACGAACTTTCCGAACAACCCAATAACATTATATACTTTCTAACACTTTGTTTAACATTCTAGGTAAAGGATTAGTATTAAAACTAAGGAAAGATAGATTGAAATAAAAGGTTACTTACTGAAACAAGTGAAAGACAAGTAAGAAACGATGCAAGATCCAGGACATTCTGGGCGAGGATCCGGTGGCAATGAAACCGTAGTGACCGGTGGTCTCGGTGAAGGTTTCGGCCTCGGCCTCGGAGTCTGATACGAAGAAGATGGTGTCACTACGTTTATTCTCTACGTACCAACGTTTAATTTCAGTCCTTTTTTTTTAAACATGGATTGTCCGTTATTTTACTTGCCTCAATTTACTCGTTCCATCGAAACGGTTCTACGGAAATAAAGAAATAGAATCACCTGCGGCGAACTTTTCGTGTCGTCACAACAGATAGATCCAGATTGGCAGGTCGACGTCCTCGGTATTATCACGTTCGGCCGTTCACAGAAAGCAGCCATAATAGTCAACAAACAGAATCCTGGACACGGCTGTAATTTTGGCTGCGGCGACTTCGTGGTTGGTCGAATTGTCGTTGTGGTTTCCTAATTGTTTAATTAGTGGTCAGTGTCTTGACGTTTAAAGGGAATACAAGTATCCTCATTTTACCGTTTTCAAGAACGCGTCGATGATGCAACAGGAACCATCATCGGGGCATTCAGCATCTCCGTCCACCTTGTCGCAAAGAAGCGCGAAAAAACCGCTGACGCATTCACCCTTGCATGGTTTTTTCGCAGTAATCTTTGGCCTCGAAGTGGTCGTTGGCTGTCTCGTCATCGCATCGGTCGTGGCAATTGTGGTGGTGACCACGCTGGCAGAGGTCGACGTGTTTGGTCTCCCAGCCGTGGATACTGAAGAGCCTTTGTGTATCGTACTGACGCCTGTCTTCTCGTCGAACCGACTCGAATTTGTTCGGTCGATCACCAACAATTCCGGCGGAGGAGAATCCCCGAACGTGTCTCTGGACACGCAACATTTGTATCCTGGCTTGCATAGAGTGTCGATTACCAAAACGGCGTCGCAGTAATCTGCGATTCTCTCCGCCATGCAAATCCCGGAACATGTTTTCACTGCGAAATATAGATACGAATTTAATAAATAGTATTATACTATACAATACTACTACGCCGAGAAAAAATCAATTGTTTACTTCCGTTAAAATAATATCGTACAACAAAATATTTCTCGATACCTTTAATTCTTTTTAGCGTACGTAATCATTTACGATTACTTGAATTTATTTGTTTAACCCTCGTGCACCGTTCAATAAATTGTTGCATCGTTATTCCTTGAAGTATACTTGGTCTAAGCTAAAATCGAATTTAATATTTATAACTTTATCATTATACAATGTATGTGCAAGTCATTTTTTCTCAGATCGTTGTAAAATAAGTGAGCCCCTAAGTGATTAATAAATATACTGCTTAAACTAAAAGGTACATACTCGAGGTCTTGTTGACTGTGTCCACCTGGCTATCCTGTAACATAAATAAATCGCACATTCGTTAGATATTAAACAATATTATAAACATCATGGTAATGCCTGAAAACACAACTAATGCGTATGGCATTGTTATAAAGATATTTAAACATTTTTTATATGTAGAAAACAGTATAAGTCACGAATGAGTATTAGCAACGAACATAATTGAGCAGTCACACTAAAAACACCATGGTAAATGGTAGATCAATCATATTAATCGAAGCATTCACCGTTTGAATAGACACTTTTACCAATATAGCACAAAACTTATGTGTATATGTATAGAATTGAAACATTCTATTAAAAAAATAGTCATTATTTACGTTTTCTTAAATCTTTTTTTTCTTTCTTATAAAAATATATGTAAAGACTGAGTTAAAATAATCCGTCAAGTTATTGTCACGAGATATACAATAAAAATTTTGTTTTTTCAATTCTCCAAAATAAAAAGACCCCTTAAATATCAGAAATATTTTCTACAGTGATGCGGCAGCACCATTGTTAAATTATAAAGAATATTTTGCACACTTACAGAGGTAGTTTTTGGCGGGGCCGCTGTCGATGTAGTCGTCGGTGTTGTAGTCGTTGGTGGTGTGGTGACGTTTACAGACGTCATTGCCATCTTAACGGTGGTGAGCATAGTCGATGTTGGACTATCATCTTCGAGGAGGTTTTCAGAGGAAGTACCGGTTCCGTTTATCGGTGCCTCGATGCAACATCGCATGCTAGTAGGGCATTGCACATGCTCGAGAACTTCGTAACATATTAAGGTGGCAAACGCGTGCACACATACCCCTGGACAGTCCGCGCTATTAGCTGTACTCGTTATGGAATCCAATAAACCTGTGAACATATCGGGACTCCGTGTTATCGAAAGAAAATTTAATTTAAATAAACTATAGGTGTCTTATATGATTCGTTCACAAGCCAAAGAAACTAACTCCATTTTTGGAATTTTTTCAAATTTTAGTGCTAAAGTAAGCAACTAGATTTAAAAAATGATACTGTGCACTTCACAGTTTTACTATTGCACAGTTTTAACGTTGATTAATTGTCAACTTATTAAAAATTGTTCCACAAACAGATGTAAATTTGAATTTAATTAATCAATTTATAATAGTTTGGAGTAGTAAAAATGATTACAAATGATAAATAATATCAATTCCGGTGGAAAAAAATGTGTTTTCTTAAAAAAATCTTTGTAACCCATCGTGACTCGAGACACAAATAAACAAAAACAGTTCATTAATAGTATTGGAAAATGTGTAATGGACTAATGTTAATTATAAATTGATTTAAAAGAGAAACAAATGAAAAAATAGAGGAATAAATCCAAGTCATTACTCCACTTAATACTTCATCTTGAATTCTCTGAAATCTGTAAGAAATTAATTTAAATTTGTTTGCAATATTAAATTATTTAATATTAAATAATAATGTTAAACAATGCATCGATTGTATTTAGAAGTTTCAGTGAAATATTACGTGTTCATAAGTACGTGACTCAGAAATGATGATTGCTTGTATTGCAGTCATTCGTGTCGTTTGCACTGCGAAGCTTCTTTCGTTCTCGAGGGTATAGTTTATCTACGACGAATAAAACGTCTATCATAAATTCCCAACATTAACTGTATATCGGGTGCAGGTGCGAAGGTACCGTGAGTCGAGAGAAATTCCTGCATACGTAATCCTACGCTCCACTTATAAAATAAAATGGTCAAGGATGACTAAACTTGATCTTGACAGTCGGCGTGTATCTTAGATAAAAGTTAATGATTCGGTGGCATTGATCCTTTTACAAAAAGTGTTTGCTCTTATTTCATTTACATCTGTAGTTGTTGATACAGTTCACATTTGACAAGTAAAGTACAATTTTCCTTAAGGATTTTCTTGAATGAAAAATCAAATAACAAATGCATTTAAATGGTACTAGCAGTTCTATTTTGTTACTCTTTAAAAAATCTAGGGTCTAGAACCACAATCGAAGCATTTTTTAATTAATTTCTGCTAATGATTCTATGTTTTAATAGATTAGAAATTTGCTGAAAATGATTGAAATTTTTTATCATTAACTTAAAAATATATTTTTTATTAAAAATATTTATTTAACAACAAAATTTCACAAGAAAACTTTATAGACATAAGTTGCCTTTTCCTTTCAACTGCAAATATGCAGAGTACTTATTATGATACGTCAATTCAATTATGTCATTAGCACCTGTTGAAGCGAATGTGTTAAAATATCCGTTTGTTTATTGACTGAAAGGAAAATTTTGTTGTAGAAATTTTGTTCATGTTAACCTTCTCTCAATATTGATATGCAGATCAAAACACATTCGAAAGAAATTACTTTACTATAAATATGGCACGCCTGTTTGAATGTACACGTTGTTATGGTGCAAGGATTACATGGTTACAATTTTAAAAAAAAGTAAACACAAAGCTCGTTTCCGTATAGATAAATAATACATATATATTTATACTAAGGACGATTTGTGCTATGAGCTCAGTCATTTATTTTTTAATGAACTTGTATCGTTATAAGCATTTTGTAAAATGTCTCTGATTAAACAAAATTGTGAAATATCTTCGAACCATAAATAGGTCACATGTACAATCAAATCAAAACTTTCAAAATGAATACAAACTTTTCATTTAAAATTTAGTATACAACAGCGTTAACTATAATTATTATTAAAATAATTTGTCAAGATATATTAAACAGAGTGAATTGAAATATTTCATTCCGTTTTGTTTTCTCATAAAACTAACATAATTAAACCGATTAGGAATGCAAGACTTAGTTTCATGAAGTTCTAGGACAATATAATCGAAAATCATGGAACAAATTCATCAAATCTTAAAAAAATTCGGAGGTTCTTCCTTTTCATGAAATACTGATCGCCTGGGAAAAAATTATATTCCTATCTTTATTGTATCTTTTATTCGTAATTCCAACAGTTTTGTCAAGAGAAACTTCATTCATCTTTGCTTCGTCACAACCATCGCAAGAACACCGATTTGAATGCCCACGTGACTCACTCTCTTTCGATGACCATATTTTCGTACCACAAAACTTCCAGTTGGCTTTAATTTTTGGCACAACCTTTGAATCATACGCTGGAAAGATAGCATTCCGCTGTGCTATTCATCAAGACTTAGATTCTTACAATTAGTGGAGTTTTTTCAACGTTTCCTTAATGAAATTAACATCTACATGCACGTTATATGTATGAATACCTACGATCTAGTAAATACATTAACCACGAATTGATGCATTTATGATTTGCATTAATGATCTGTCATATTGCATTAATGTTTTGATAACATTAATTAAGTATTCACCTTTCTAATTATTTATGCATCATCATAACGCTTCGAGTAATTTATAATGTTAAAATATTTGTGCAGTTATAATATTGTACGACTTTTTGTTGCATTTTTTCAATTGTAATACAATCTATTACGTTAAGAATAAGAAAGATAAAATTCCTTTTACATTATATTCTTTCATGCTATGGAACAACTTTTATAAATCACATTTTTCATTATTGTTAATGCAAGAAGCTTAAATATTTCAAATAAACAAATTCACTTCTCCCAGTTTACAGTTAATAAAATTTGACACAAATTAATTTACTAATACTATTATTGCACACTTACTACCCTACAAAATACGATAAAAACAAATTATACTATACATATTAAACATCAGCAATTTACAACTATCAATAAACAAAGTTCTCCTACACACATTGGTAAGTCAACAATTTTTTACTCATCGGCACATAGCTCTTCTATTTAATCACACAAAAATGGAATCAATTTTTGCCGCCAAGAATTTCAATACGTATCCGATATCTCCTCAATTTATTTAAATTTAAATGTTTATTAAAAAAATTCGGTATTTATTTTAAAAAAATAAGAATGATACTAATTAGTCATTATTCAAAGGACACTCGAGATATCCTGTATTTGTCTTCGTTTGGGGGCATCAATCGTTCGTCAAGCAGGAAAAATCTAAATCTAAAAGGCGGTTCAGTACATTGCTCAAAGTAATACGGGGCAAGTGAAAAAGTTAAACGTTAAATGCTTAAGACTGAAAGCCGATGAAAGTTCGGTAAAAGTGATAAATGCAGCCAGTCCATTTCCGACGTGTGTGTAAACGAACCCGAGGAAATTCGCATGGAGCGTAGCATACAGAGTTCCTAGCCGTGTTCATTTTGGCAGGCATAACGGCCCAAACAAACATAACGGTAGTTAATTAAACAGCTCGACTCCATCGCGTAGCTGTGTTCGGTACTACACGTGCCTCTCCTAACGTAATAGTTTTAGACCGTAGGCCAGTGACAGACGTACCCAAATCTATTCTACATATATTCGTCTGAAATACGTACCATTTAATTTCTATCTAAATGGAAGAAAATTACGTGATTACTATTTATATTAAGTATACCAAAGAGTATCAATAAGTATAATTTAAATACAGTATATCGTCGAGCACTTCTTGCGTGATAAAAACGAACAGGATTTCTGAGAACGGATACTATTGTTAAAGTAGCATAAACTTTTTGTATCCCTAAAAATAAAACTCTTGTCATGATACAGTCGCAATAATCATTTGTCTGATCTTAATGTAAATGCAGTAACCACGATTAAAAAATATCGGTAATTTATAAAATGTATAAAAACGTGTCATATGAATCTGAAAATTTTCTATAATTCGAACTTCTTTTGCCTCACTGAAAATTTCAATGTCGATTTTTTCCTCTCTACGGATTTTTTCGCTCTTTAAATTAATTTGTGTACCTATTTATAATCGAGCATCTAAATACATAGATATAGTATAAATATAGAATTCCACTTTTTACTATTCTTTTTTAATTGGGGGAAAAATGTAGTTGCGTTTATTTCAGAAAAACGGAAAATTTATCTATGATTCGATCAATACAATGGAATTTAAAAATCTTCTATATCGATACATGTTGTTTGTTTAATGAAAGAGAAACCTGTCAATATTTTCTAACCATCTAATGAAGGTAGATGACATGTCACTTTGTTCTAGTAATTATGGACCTGAAAGTCCTCTATTTTAATGAACTTCGACGTAATTCTTTTATTTCTAATTTATCTGATTGGTAAAAGAAACGATTACTATTCAAATGGTATGTGTATCATTGCACAGTTTTCAAGTTCGCCAACGGCCTTCTCACCGGCAGTGGACTCGAGCGTCATCCGCATTGCGTTGTGCGACTCCTAAGTGGGACAGTCGCATCCTTCCAGATACTGCCTACTACCTACTACCTACTACCTGTACAAGCGTACACAGCATACGTTTGCGCACGCGAATTTCTATTTCTCGAAACCTCTTGTGCTACGAACTGATTTTATTTACAGCTAATCCCCATCAACTTCTGTATCTACCGATGCAGTTGTATCATCGCGTCTTTATAGAACTACAATTTATCACAAGTCATGACTACACTTTTGTTAATACTATTTCGTATTCGAGATTTTATTTAAATACTGAATTAAATAACAACTTAAACACTGCTGTCTTATTTCACAAAAATATACTTCTCCGGAAAAAATCATGTAACCGATCAAAACAAATTATTAATAGTAAATGATTTTGTTTATTAGTAACGATGTAGAATCTCTGTCAGGATTATATTAATCATAAAGTACTTTAAATTGAAATAAATTAGAAAAAAAAACCGAAATATACTTCAGTTCAGTCTGATTGACAGTATATGAAATGTAGAAAAATTCAAGTATCTTCGACACCATTCCAACTAATGAATCAAATTTTTCCGAAAGACAGGTAACAAATAAAAAATGTTCAAAGTAACAAGACGGAATTTTGAGGAAAGTAGAAAACATAAAATCTCTACAAGAAAAAAATCGATGGGTAGTAAGATTTAGTAGATCGAAGTAAGACCTTAATGATAATCAGAGACTTATTTACCTGACAAGAAGCTACCAGCCAAAGAATCGTCATCCTGAGCAACAATCGATCCCGTGAGTAGAAGAAAAAGGACGATGCCCCCGGGGACTGTTCGCAGTATCATCTTCAACCTCCCTTGTTCTTTTTCTCTTCTCTGTCTCTCCTCCTTTTGGTTCGATTTCAAGGGGCAGCCGCAAAACAGCCAAGGGAAGACGCACTGTCTCGTTATCCGACTGGTTCGAGCACGTGCGTGTCAAACTACTTTACCGCGAATTCGGCAGCCACGGTATTATGCGAGCCCGCATTGCCTGCTTGGCTTGTTTGACTGACTGACTGACTAACTGGGGAGGTACCGGGGCCCACTTGTGGGTCAGGGTGCGGGTCCCCTCTTTAACGCTTCACAGAAAAAGGAGAGAAAAGAACGAACCCGGAGAAGCAGAGAGAACTACACCGACCGACCTCACTGAGAATCATTCAGAAAGAGAGGGAGGGGTTGTTGGCATGAATATTGGATACCTCGAGAGAACTTGCATCTTTCGGCTATTACTATTACGTTGAATCATAAATAACTTCCGTTCCCCTCTTTCAAACTCATTTCAATGTGACACATTTTACAGTCAATATTATACTATTTCATATCCTCTAGTATTGTTAATAGTTTTTCATTTATTTTTTTGATTCGTTACCCAGAATATGTCGTATGGATCTTTGCAGAGAAATAATAATAAAATTCCTTATTTACAGTTCAATTTTACTGATTTTTTACTGATGTGATTTATATTAAACTGTTTCACCCTTGGTATGTTAAAATGTATCATTTTATCCATACAAGAACGTGTGTAATCAGAATAAATCAGAATGAAAGTATATTTTTTATTGATAATTGATTTACCATTAAAGATATACATCATACAATGATATATATGACATAATAAAATAACACTACTTTATTTATAATTCTATTTACTATAACTTTTTGGCCTTCTAAGTAGATATGATAAATATTGTTTCTTGTTCTCATATTATTATGGAAAATACGTTAAATTTATTTTTGTTTACTTTAAGTATTTTACTGGTAAATATTTGTTATAAAGAGTAAGGAAATTATCTAGAAAAAAAACCAATCATATGAGCATGACAATTATAGTCTCGTATGAAGTAGTCGCAATACGTGTATACTAATCTATTTATGGTATAAAAACCGTCATAGTATTATACATTTGTAATAATGTAAATGTGAATAATAACGTATTCCGTATAAAGTTGTATTATTTTCTTGTCGATACAACACACATTAAAATATGAACACACAATTTTTAAAATGACTAAGTGGAACAATCCTACCTATTCATTGCGACAAATTGTCGTTCCATTTTCTAAGGTTTAATATATGCTTCGATTTACCCACCGTGATTCTTATTAGATATTTCTTATTGTCTGTTCTACACTATATTAGAATCTCTTTTTCTCTATATTCTTCAATCTTCGCCATATCTTCGCACTGTTCTTCCTCTTTACCTCTCTCTCACTCCCCTCCAGCCTTTTTTCTTTCGTTCCCTCTTTCTCATCGCGTACGTATAGATGTATATGTGCACGACTAGCGGTACTTTACCCGTAAATGTACGAGATACCGTACGATATTTCCCTTTGGAATTTATCGTTCTTTGCGCAACGGTTGATCCCTCGTAATCATAGTACACAATCAAAATACTTCCTATTTTACAAAATACAGCGCACAGTTCATATTCTGAAAAATTTTATTAATTATTTATTATGTTGTAACTGTTATTACGAAGTATAGAACAGCAAACATGTTTATTTTAATGATACATTTAAATTCAAATAATGAGAAAAACAAGTCTATTACGAAGAATATACAATAATATAGTTACAATAACAAAAAGATAAACTTCCGAAAGAATTAACTCAAAAGTTCGCATAAGTTTACAGTAAACCCAAATGCAACGGATCAACCAATGTAAATTTTTCTATGCATTCAATTAACCACATAAGTGGTAGTGTTTTTATATGGGGCATATTGTATTTTACACGTGGTTCATCTCTCCCTGGTACATATATGATGTAATGAGTACATTTATATAAAGAATGAGAAGGATCATCAGCAATGTGGTAAAGAACAATTTGTTCTCTATCTTCTATATCTTCCGGATGTGGTTCCCTTGTTAGAATTGTTCCATTGCCTTCGCGTACAAGTTTCTCTAAAGCATCTTTTTTTAACAGCATTTCATTTACATAATATGTATTCTTTGAATTTAAAGCAAAGTAAAAACTACATTCATTGAAAAGACGTGGATGCTGAAAACGCAAAGTGTTATTCCATAAATTACTGAAATACAAGTATACAATTTTTGTAATTAGCTTTACTTGATTCTGTGCATTTTCCCTCGCTCTCCTTGGAGTTCCTTCAACTGGTGCACCACTAATTTCAAACAGCTCGAAATCCATTGTTAATATATCATCTACATCCATAGCTATTTGAAACCCTTATACATTAAGAAGATGCATGGAAATTAAATTTGGCAGAAACTTACGAATAAATATTAAGTAGTAACGATTTACAAGTAATCTTACATTCACTGTTAAGTAACCAGTTTCCACGCAGAATTGCTATCATCACATCATATGATAGTGGTACTATATTTTTATTATTTGCTTCTAGTACAACATGAGTCACAACTGATCTAAAATAAAATTCTATGATATATTTTTAATATTTTAAAAATTATTTGTATTATAGAAACGACTAAAACTCAAATCACATTAATTATACTGTAAACTACTATTACATTATACTAACACATTATAATCAGTTTTCATACCGAAACTTAGATATAATTTTCATTTTATGTTTTGAAGCCACCTCATAGAGTTGCTCTTTATTGTCTTCTCCTAAATTTGATGGATATACAATGAAAGCATTTCGTAATTGTGTAAATGAAAATGATTGATCTAAAGTACAATTTAAAGTTATAGATGTGTCATTCAATTCATTTCCATCTTTCAGAATATTCCATATTTCACTCCATGCTGCATCTTCCAGTGATTCACAGTAGTCTCTAATGAATAAAAGTATAGAATAACAATGAAATAAGGTGCATTATAATGAAAACACAAAGTAAATTTACATATTCATACCGATACTAAGTATTGTAATATCATAAATTAATATTGTATACTTATATACTGGGTTTTCAGATTAAAAAGACTCATTTAAATAACATACACAGGTTTCTTTCCATGTTTATCATATACATTTCTCTTGGCTGAATATTGCAAAAGTAATTTAACTACTGCTAAATTTTTACTTTTAACTGCTTCGTGTAATGCTGTTCTATTTTCTAGACCTGGTACATTAGGTGATGCACCATTCTCCAAAAGCAACTTACATAGATTAACAAATCCTGAGCTAACAACTTCTTGCTATAAAAAAAACACGACTAAAATAAATATTACAAATTCTCAGTTTAAAAAATTACATGTTGAAATATTATTTAATAACTTACTAAAGGAGTCCAACCAGCATTATCTTTTGTATTTGGATTTGCACCAGCAGCTAATAAAAGTTTCACGTAGTCAATTTTGTTCTAAACGAAGTTCATTTGTTAATTATAGTTGATATTTTGTAATTTATAAAATATTGAATTTTAAGTATTTATTTCTTTGAATTTTTGGAAATTTACTGGTAATAAGTGAAATATAATACAATATAACACATGTATACAGAATATACCTTTAAACAAGCACTGTGTAATATGGTTTCTCCTTTTGTATTTATCTTATTTATATTTTTCTGTGGTATACGTGGTTGTTTTCGATTAGTAACTTCAGAGTTTACTTGTAACACTACTGAAGGTTCAAGAGTAGAATTAGGAACATCTGCATTTATATCCCATAAATTTCTAATGAAATAGTATTAAGCATATATTAAATAATGAAATTTATCATATTTATGTCAATGATAATGCTATTACTTATCATTTTCTTGCACTAAATTTTTTAATTATTATTACATTTAATCTGTATATCGTTATTAATAAAACATTAACAATAATTTATATATTACAGAATGTGTTCCTCTTAACTGAACAAGGTAGGAAAGTTCATAGGCAATTGAAAGTATAAAGTAAAGAATATATTTCTTTATTGTGTCATGTAATAAATATTGTGTAAAAAAATTTTCCACTACTATGTGATTCATTTGTCATTAAAAATGTTCATTGCCTATAAAATATTTTAACACTGTCAGTATTTGTATTAAGTAAATTTGATAAATAGAACAATCAATATACAAGAAATTTAACATACTAAACTTTGTTAGATACTATGACTTTCAATATATTATGTCAAGGTATGTAATATATAGTCTTTTAAACTCACATACTTTTCATCTACGATTTCTGCAATAATATTGCAGTAAGATGTAAGACTTTTAATCATATGATCACTATGAATTTCAACTGGTTGCACAGGTGTGCCGCATTTTGCACATATTGTATCAGTTCTAACACATTTTTTGCAAAAGAAATGACCACAGTTAATATATCTTACTGCATCTACTGGTTCATTTCCACTGAAAGAAAAATAATCCAGATTTTCTTTAAAAATATACATTGAGTACATAACATATACATTAATGTGTAATTTAAATTAATGTTGAAAGGTTACAATGTAATAACAACAATAATTTTGCTATTGTCAAGAAAGATGATAAATCTGTTATGAATATTATGTAATAAACAAAATATAAAAATTAAAATCTTTAAATATATACAATATAAGCTACGATGGTCTTAACAAAGTATTACCACTTGTTGCATACTAGCACTTCTGCAAAGTTTTTAAGAGCTTCACGGGTATTCTTCCACAGAATATCCATTTTTTAATGTTATTGCATTACAAAAAATTATCTTTGAGAAAATTATTCTGTTACTGTGTCACTTTCAATCGGGTATTAGAAGTAATTGACGAGAATGTTATATTATCAAAGCATATCAATTTTACGTAAAAAGTTGTTTACGATTAAACACATTTTTTAAAGATTGAATGTACGAAAAATAGTTTTGCCACTATTACAAAAATATCTAATAAATTCAGTTAAACTGATAGAACTATGAAGATTTTCCAAAAACTGAGTTGTACGTTGTACGCAGGGAGAGGAAACTGATATAGGCACTTCCGGGATAGTGTTTGAAGTTTTGGAAGCTTCAAATTGAAACTGTACTACAAAATCATTGTACATAAGTACTATAGTCTTTTTTGTTGCTAGGTTAGGTTAACTTTCTCGAGATCGAATCAATTGTTTAGTAAAAAAATTAATCTCGCCACATACGATACTTATTTTTTCCATTTTCCGTATTTAAAAAATAAATACTTGGGATATATATATGTCCTCCGAGCGTTTTGTGAGCTATAAATCCGAGAACAAGATTTGGAGCATTTTTATCAAACATATAGATTGTAATGACGAATTTTAACAAGATGTATACTAAACATACATATTTATGTATATTAAATAAACTCTTTATTTATAAACTATTGTCATGTCTATAATTACACAATGTATTATGTACAATATATTGATTCATGAAATAATATATACTATCACACATGTATGTAGAATCAGTTAAATTATTTATTTTATTTAACTACTATTTTTGCAAATAAATGTTTCACTAATAGAATTTTAATAACGTATTGAAATCAAAAGAAAATTAGCATTAGTTAAATTACATTGAATTCATTTTTGTCAAAACTGAATTATCTATTTTTTTTAAATACTATAATTTTTATAAACACTCAAACTAGTTAAACGGAGAAACTTTCTCCGCATCCACATGTTCCTTTAATATTTGGATTATTAAAAATAAATTCAGAGCTTAATTTAGATTCTAAGTAGTCCATTTCAGTACCTAGAAGGGACAATTGTGCTTTTTTGTCAATCATAATTCGAACTCCATCTTGAACAACTTCTTCATCCAGTTTAGATTTTTCTTTAGCATAATCTAGAGTATAACTGAGTCCATTACACCCACGCTGTTTCACACCAACTCTTAGACCTACCTGAAATATGAAATAATTTTCTATTTTCCAAACTACTTAAAATTATACCTAAAACTTTAAATCAGTTAATATACATTCGATTTTGTCATTTGTATCTATAAGTAATGCTACTACAAGGCACTTTAAGATGTGTAGAATAGTAGACTTACTGAGAACTGATAGTATACTTTATGATCAGGAATAAAGAAACAAATGAGGAGATTCCCTACTACTTCAGATTTGTCACTAACAGAAACATTAAGTCCATATTTATTTTATACATTTATAAAACAAATATTTTGATTTCTAAAATACACTTCTCAGTCATTTGCTCCAAAAAAAAATGCATTCAACCCTGTTGAAATCCGTCATGTATTTAATAAGGACACTGATAAAATTCAATTTCTGTAATGTATATGATCATGTTAGAATGTGAGTGCTTTACTTGCTTTTTATAGACATGTAACTTCTATTAAGCTTAGAATTTTAAACTATGTAAGGGAATCCATACAGTCGACCATAATTATTTATTTGTGTGTAATGCAAATTGTTTTCTTATGACCATCTTTTAATTTTCACATGTACAGAGTACATATGCAACATTTAATTCTTTAATTAATGCTAAATAATTGAAGCATATTTCAATGAATCTGTTATATTTACTCACATATTCATCTTTGCCCTTTAATAACTCCTTGATCTTTTTAACTGCATTTGGTGACTAAAACAAAAATAATTACAAGTTGTATGTTATAAATATAACTAAATGAAGATAATATTTGTATTCTATGAAACTTAACAGCTAAGCACAATATAAAGCCAATTAAATGTTATGTAATGATATAATTATAGAAAAATCTGAATATAAGAAAGAAAAAATAAATTAATCATTTTAAAAATTAAAAATTCATTATACATTATTTTTGATGCCATGTAGCTTAATCTTAATATTCAACACTAATAACAAATACATTTAAATATTTATTTAATGATATAATATATTTATAACTACATTGATACTTTTTGATTATACAATATCATTTTTATATATATTGGGATATGTTATATACATACAACTTATTTTAAATTATACTATTAACTCATAGATATCTAATAATTAGTTCGTTTTACTAACAAGATAAAACTATAGTAAATATTTTCAAATGTTGAATTTTTCTTTTCAGTTACTAACAAAGTATTAATACTTTGATATTAAATCAACAAAATTTAAAATTACCAACAATATTACACAAGAAGATAGAAGTAGACTTTGAACATTCTAGAACATTGTTTAACAATGTTCTAGTGGTTATTACTGAAATTCTTAATAACTATTTACAATTTTTATATCATACAAGAAATAAATATACATTACATTTAATCAATTTAATAGAACTAGAACAAAAAATATAAGTTCAAAACATAACCCGAATTGCTAAAATCCACTAGTTCCACTCATTTTCGTAATAGTTTACAGAAAATTAAACATACATGCATGTACAATGATCTAAAATTACCAGATGTCAATTATCCACTCACTAAAGTAAGTGCTGCTCTTGTAGGAAATATTTTTCTGCTTTTGACAGCACGGACTGTTGCTGCAGCGACCACAGTAGACGCCATTTTGATTTTAATAATAACACCACAAACTATTTTTTTATCAAAAATGATGAAACTTCCGAATATAAATTGTAAACATAGCATGTATGTATAACAGACTGCGCGGTCTTATGCGCCTTATGATAGGGATGAAGCGAGACTGAAGGACAGAACTACAGAAGTAGCGATGGAATCATGCCTCTCTCGCTCGCGAGAGGGACGGAAGAAAACGACTGGAGGGCGATTGTATTCTTTAATTTGTGTTAAATGAAATTGTATTCCACTTAAATTGAGTTGTTTGTTATTGTTTAAATTTATATTAATAAAACAATAAGTGGAGGTTTAAAAGAAGAGTTTCTCCTTTACAAATTGGAAATAATAATTTAACGAGCAGCGGATTAGCGCTCCACGGGCACCAATCCATCTCTTTGATTTATATTTTCCCCAAATTTGGATGTAACAGTGGTAATAGAAATTATTATAGAAAATACTAAATTTATCGCTGGCAATGTGTGCAAAATGAAGTTTCCAAAACTCGTTATCCAATAGCTATAAGCTATAAATAACAATCATTGTCCACCCTACTTCAATCTCCTCAGAAATTGTATACAGAACAATATTCTCGTCTATGCTATAATGTTTCGTGGTGTAAATCACAGCGCCTCACGCACGTGTGACGTTTGTCAGTGACAAGCCATTTGAATTTCTGACAGTTTAAAAAGCATTAAAGTAGATGAAAATATTTTCTAAATCAAACCGATAAAAGTAATTATACATATTTTAATAACTAACGTGAAAGGTAATTTAAACTTACTTTTCTTTACTTTTTTATTATATTCATGTCAAAATACTCGTTAAATGACTATTTACCATTTATTTTTAGCTTAATGTAGCTGCTAAAGTTCAGTTACAGGTGTCTGTAAACACGTTTATTCTGTGTATATTTTATTAGCATAAAATTTGCAAGTATACAATTATGGAAAAACCAATAAACCCATTTGCATGGATTAAAAAATTGGAATGTCCACCGACAATATACAATGATTCTGTCAAAAAAATGTATAAATTTTTATTTTTATTAATAATTAGGATTTAAGAGGATTGAACACTATAATGATGTACTTAGTCATCAATCATCAACTATAAATTGTGCATCTATTTAACAGATTATATACAGGTGCTGCTGTACTTTTATGGGATGATTTAGCTGATGTTATTTTTACTGCAGATGAAGTGAAAACAATACGAAAAAATATTTTATTGCACCAGTTAAAACAAGGAATGCCTAATAATGTTGTTCAGTGCATACAAAATATAGTGCAATTAAAGTCAGCTCAAAATAATTTAGAGAATGATATATCTAAATTAGACGAAGAATACAAGCAATTAAATTTTACAGTTAGGCAGAAAGGTATGCTTATAATTGTAGATACACATATAGTCGAGTATTTAATATGTAATTTTTTTAGCCCAAAAATTACGAGATATATCATCTAAAAGTTCCCAAGTAAAAGTAATGAAAGACTTGCTTAAGATGAAATACGATCAAACTGCTACACAGATTGGGGACTGTAATAACATGAGATTAGTTTGTCAACATTTAATGCCAAGCAATTGTAAAGACGTAGATACTAAACTACTATCAGAAATGTCAAATGCAGTGACAAGTCTTTGGACTGAAGCGAATAAAAAACAAGTATATATTTTATAGTATAGTATAGTATTAGTATTAGTATAGTATAAATTATAGTTACAGTGTTTACATTAAACTTTTAGGTATGGGATATAATAGCAAATAATCTTAATATTGAAGTGCCTACATTATGGCGAAACTTATATAAAAATTTTACTCAAGATGTGGATACACTAATTAAGTCAGTAACTACAAAACGTTTAGACTTCACTGAAAAAAGCATAAATGTTGGTTTTGCTAAAGTACATGGTCAGCAAATCTCTATGGTTGCAAAGCGATTATTGCACAATGCAAAAGCAAATAATCATCAGCAAAGTATCCTTGAATTTACTGAGAAAATTGAGGTATATTTTGTACTTACTTAACATTTAAATAATTTCACATTTAAACAAATTGTTTTTTTAGGTGGCTACAAATAATTCTGTAGATATGATCACATGGCTAGCATTAGCATTGGAAGTCTGTAAATTAGAAACTGAACAGAAATGCTTATTAGCAGAAGTTGATAAAATTCGAGAAGATTTGAATGAAAATAATACACTTCCAGTTGATCTAATTGAAGTGATTTCAGAAATACAAGATATTAATACGGAAATAGTATGTTAACATTTTAAAAATTATTATATGTTCAGAATTATACATAGTAATTGCAAGTCAATTTTAGGTAAAATGTACAGAATGTATACAACAATCATTAATACATTTGAAGTGTTTGCCAAAGTATTTTATAGAAAAAAAAGAAGAGATGAATTTTGTATTGCAAAAAATATTAGTACTGCGGAACAATATTTATGACTCTGTGTGGTCAAAAACAAGTTTAATAACTGAATTACGAATATTCCATGACACCTTAGATCTTAATGCATTAAGGAAAGTTATGTTGAAGGGTGATGTTGGAATTTACAGGTTTGACTCTTAAAATTTTGTTGCTGCATTTTATATATTTTAAATCAAATTATTAAAATTAAGAATATTTCTTTGTAAATGATACAATCTTTTCAGGCATACAAAAAGATGTTTCAGTGAAGCTTCTGTTTCAATTACTAATACTCAGGCATCAAATATTACATGTTACTTTCCAATGATTCAAACACCAGTATACTCTTTAATAGAATGCTATAAAAATTTAACTTTAATGTTTCTTTACAAGACATTTGATTCTTTACAAGTTGATGAAAATGTAGATGCACTGCAAATACCTATACCATCATACGAAGAAAATAATTATAATATACATAAATTATTAAATTTATCAAGAATTGCAAGTACAAATATAGAAGCCGAAATTAATAACTTTAATGAAATACTAAATGATTGGCAAGTAATCAAATGAGAAAAATATTTTCACTACTTGAGAACAGGTATTTATTCTTATAATACTTTTGCAGGGTACATCAAACAGTTGAGAAAGTAATGGACATTATCGAAAAAACTGTAGACGATGCAACTTTTCCAGAGTGGGTTGAACGTTACAATTTACTATTATATATAATACAAAATTCTAAATAGTATTCTGTATATAATTATTTTTTATACGTTTCATTGTATTTACCATACGTTTTTCATATTATAATATTTTATAATAAACAGAACTGTAATGCAATATTTTTTCTCGGTTGCAACTCATTGTTCTATATGTTAAAACCTCCTCGTTGTTCTTTTTACGTCTTCTCTTTTTTTTACTTTACCAAAGATAACTGTACGAAAATAAGCTTTTTAGTAACACAATACAAGCTTCCCCCACGATTACGTACCGTTATTTAATCCACTAAGAATGTACATAATATTAGGACAACAAGAAAATTATGTGTTAATTTAAAATCACAGAATAAAAGTTACCGAATGAAATAATTTATTTGAATTAATTGATTAGTAGAATTGTTCGAATGATTTCGTGTTTAATCTCATTATCAATTTTCTTCAACAATAGTTCCAGCAATGTGTTGCTTATATTAGAAATGATTTAATTAGGATAAAACAATAAGAGATGGCTCAAACGCAATTTCGTCATGTTTGATTTTCGACTTATTGTTAGTTTAACATGAATACAAATCTACCATGTGAAAGTGTCCTACATTTTTATTATTAACACCTTGTATAAAAGGCCCTAACACGGTTGTATTTGACAGTGGCGTTATAGTAGGACCTTGATTATGCGTGGTCACGATTAACCAGAGTCTAACGAACAATCGTCTCTTATGAATCTTTTGGTTTCTATAAATTCTCTCTTTCATTAGTTCGTGACAAAGCACTTAAAATGAATAAAATAGAAAAATTGAATCTTTAATTCTGTTAGTTTTGTAAGAATTAATTGTAATTTTAATAACAATTTATAAAATAAAGCATAATTATAAGTTTTAATAACTTTTTCGGTTTAATTTAAGTTACGATATACATACACCATATCTAGTAGACTGAATATGAAAATTTGTTTAATACAAATCTTTATAAAATTTAATTTAAGAGATTTCATTGAAGAATTGTAGAAAAATTCTTTAAACTGGATCTTTGACAGGTTTCATTAGAATTTGTTTATTTATCCACACTTTCCCTCTTACAGTATGTGCTCATGGTACAGATCAATGACTTTTAAAACAATGATTGGAACGACCTGAGAGAAACTTCATGATTCTGTTAACTCTGAAAAGCATCATTAACAGGCTCGTCATCGTCTTCATCCTCTTCTCCTTCGCTTTCAAATGTATTATCTGGTATATCATATAGTCTTATCATTGGCTTGTTTGGATCTTTCATAATAAGATATTTCCCATCTTTCTGCTTCATACAAATGTCGATAATGCATCTTAATATACCCCAAGCATTGTCCATGTTAAGATTGATTTGTGTTGCAAATTCGTTCGGTTTATATTGCTGTGTACCAAGAATAACATGTTTACTGGAGTCTCTAACCATTGCTCTCGATACATATCCAAACTTCAATTGATCAGAACCAGCTAATAATGCTTGAACAGTCCATTTTGCCAATTTGCATGCATTATTCCGTAATTCGTTTGCCAATACTGCACCACGTTGCGTATCTAACTTCTGTCTCCATTCCACACCATTAGCCAACTTCGAATCCCATTCATTTAGAGCCTTGATAGTCAAAAACTGAGTTTCGTTATTTGGTCCTTGCATAACAGCATCATGTTCACATCTTGCAATGAGAACAATTCCATTATTTAAATCCCATTTCCTGTACCGGTATGACACACTAGCAACATCACCTTCCTCCTCTTCTGAAATAAAGGGATTTCCTTCGTCGAATTTATATCGAGGTTCATTGGACTTTAATACTTGCTGTGAAAAGTTGTGATTGATAAATGTAGCCTCCAGAGCTAAGTTTCTAGGGGAATTTAAAGAATTTCCATCATCTTGAGGAGGCTCAACGCTGGTTTCATTCACAGTTAGTAAATCAAATTCAGTGTTATCTCGCTTGTCAAAAAATAGTTTATCCCGAATTTTTTCAATTACGATATCCCAAGAGTAGTTGCTGCGAGTGCAGCACATGATTGTTGCTAAAATTGCATCTGTAGCATAAACATTTCCCTCAGTTTTGGATAGTTTGCGAATTATTGGATCGTCAGTGGTTGTAACGGTATGGAAAATTCTATTGATTCGTTGCAATGGTTTTTCACTCTTGACATTTACTCGATCATAAGTTTTATCATAATATTCAAGAGAGCCACAGCACAAAATATCTTCTCCATCTTTTACACTGGGTAAAGATAATTTCGCTAAGCGAGGAAAATCCATTTCTTCAATAGTTACCCAATCAGGTCTGACAGTAACAGATGCGTCACGAATTTTAATCGGTGGTTGGTTTTTATGATTACGCAACCCCTGCTGCCTACCCCAGCGTTTTGTTTGGCCTTTACGTTCTCTTTCGCGCAGTTTTAGTTTGCTAAGCTGTTGCATCTGGCTCAACGCACCCCGCTGACCACCACGGCCACGTAGATTCCTCTGATTGTGTCGGAAGCGACCACCACGTTGATAAGGTGGTTTCTGTACACGAGTTGTATCGACCAAATGGAAAGTTGTTTCATCTTCATCATGATAGTATGCATATTGACTGCCTGAGCCAAATTGTGATGTATACTTGTCTGCAAAAATGAAAACATATATGTGTTAATTAAAATGAACTTTTTATATATGACTATTCTTTGTTACATAAAATAGTTAATTTAATAGCATTGTATCGTAATTAATATAATTACCAAGTATCTATTTTGTAAGCATTTACATCACTATGCAATAAGAATTTTATGTGTTCTTCAGAAATGAGTGAAACTTATAAAAAATTATTTGTATATATATTTTTTAAAGCAAGTGTTTCATGTTGACATACACAAATTCTTTTACATTTATGTTAAACAAATTAACAAATATATAGAACGTACAGAATTTAACAATACCAATTTTGAGTTTAGGAATCGTTTTGTTGAAAAGTTATGAGACAAGAAAGGTTGATATGATTAGTCGTGGGAGGGATAGGATTAGAGTTCATCTTTCATGTTTAAATTTGTAAAAAACACAGTGATTTGAATTCGTTAGACTTGAGTTATAGGCTGTTTGTATAATAAATATTATTACCCATGTTGTTTTGTATTTTTTGTTTTTAAAACATTATATTGAACTGAGCTGATTAGAGCTAGTTAAAAAAAAAAATAAAGAAAATACTGTTCAAGGCATTATATTGATTTGAATTGAGTGGGTCGCATTAATGGTTAAAAAATACATGAAAATTTTAGTCTTTTTTGCTTAATAACTTGTCAATGGATAGAATCCTAAATTCAAAATTGATATTTTTGCATATTATTTGATACATATTTTCAATCAATACACATTTACAGTGTAAAAAAAAGTTTCCCAAAGGCAAAGTTTACTTTACATATTAAAATTAATTTTTAAACAAATATAATGATATTGAAATTGGAACAAAGAGGGTTGAGAACCTAAGGAGTTATTCTGTTTTAGACAATAGATATAAGTAGTATAGGTTAAATAGGAATAAAAAGTAATACTCACTGGGAAACTTCTTATCTTGGAATGCTGGTGTGGTCCAGTCGGATATCTATAACAAAAGGCAATTTAAGCATATGTTACGAATGTTTCTAAAGTAACATTTACGTTAAAAAAGAAAAGTCAATGACAAACCTTGCCCAATCTGTCGCCTTTGGAGAATGGTTGATAAGGTATATCCTTGAATTGATCAGGTAATTCGCAAGGACCCCATCCATCAGGATTGTGTTGAATTGCAGGTGCTTGAAAATGAGAAACTTCTTCTTCCTTCTGGACAGGATCGTCCGAAATTACCACTTCGTCCGTCATTCTATAATTTTATATCATAAGACACAAGACACGAGACAAAATGATTCGTCCGCTTGCCGGAAGAACCGGCGACGCCATTATAAGATGTACAGGTCTGTTCCATGGACATAGGAATATAGGGACAGAGCATAAACCCCTACTTTAGGCGAGGGGTGTGAAGCCTTTTCAGGAGGGTGGTTGGTACCAAGTGTGCCTAAATTTGATTGGTTACATTTCTACGCATGTTCGGTACCACGAATTACGAAAGTGATAACCACAAATTAATATAATGTCTAAGCACTGACGAGGTATAGGATAGACCTATCATCCAATCCTTTTTTCTGTCCCACGTTCATAGGTCTACGTAACTCTGTTACCATTTTAGTGTGACTACCCGACGTTACCGATAAAGCATGAATTTTGAATATTATTAGCACAAATGAAGTGTTATATATTCCATTCATATTGCGTGTATCTATATGATTTGACGGGAATAAAAATATCCGATGCTTCAGTTTAAGGTTGAGGGATAAATTGAGTCATGAAACATGAAACGGAAAAGTATATATTTTTTCACTTAACTACAAGATAATTTATTCTAAATGCATCGTCAATGGACATTTTACTAATGTTACTTTTTACATGTTCTTGTTTTATTCGTTTTTATATCTTGCCTTACATTTGAATGTTTGTAACAGATAAATTCAGAATAGATGTAGTTTCATAAATAGTTTATCAAATCTACATGTGGGAGCATATATACACCGCTTTTATTAACATTTAGATATTTATAATTTATATGGGAGTACGAATAGTTTTACTGCCTATTGTAAGAATCTTAATACGCACGAACAATTACCTTCTGACAATTGGTAAATTTTTACATATGAATTTACTTACACGTTATTTACGTACAAAAATTTTATTTATCGCGAGTAATTAAATAATGAACGTATGTTAATATTCAGCTACGTGTCTCTCAAATTAAGTGAAATACAGAAGTTTTATTTTCTTGAAAATTAGTGTCAAAGAATGGAGCAACTGGCGTGCGAGCGAGCCGCGGTATCGGTGCTCTTCGTCGGTGTCGACGCGTAGCGAACGATGCCGAAGATGGTCGGAGCGGGCGAATGGGAGAGAGCGAGAGCGGTAGAGCGAGCCGCGGTATCGGTGCTCTCCGTCGGTGTTGACGCGTGCCGAGGAATTTCGGTGGTCTATGGGGAGAGATGTGCGAGCGAGAGAGTACGGTAGAGCGTACCGCGGTATCGGT